CTATTGCTCAAATATGAATGTATGGTACATTCAATTTCTTAAAGTAATATATTTTACAAAATTATTATTAGGAAAATTTTAAACAGTGAAAAAATAAAATTATTTTTTTCAGTGATTAAGGGATGAAAATAAAAATTTAATTTTTCTCTACACTTATAAAAAATCCGATCGAAAAAAAAAATGAATATTGACAGGAGGTATTAGCATTCTGATAACACTGTAGAACACCCTGTATAACATAAATGGAAATTATAATGTATTATTTCGTTGATCGAGTGGAAGCTACAGCATATTATAAATTTCAAAAATAAAATCATATTTTTATCAGTGTGTTAATGTTATTTTAATCACTTATTATTATTAAAAATTGATTATTGTCTAGTTAATAAATGTAATTACATCGTTTTACTTTTGAATGATCTCATTTTTAGAGATATCTAAAAAAAAAAATAAATAAATATTAAATCTTATATAAATTGAAGATATGAGCACTATCTATCAGGCAGGTAACCAGTTTGGTAAGCTTTTCCCGCAGTAATCAGCAAACAATTTCAATAGAACCTTTCTCATATGGAACTAAGTGAAATTGCGTTTTTAAAAACGGAAATCGAAACAATTCTTTATGAGGTACTTAGAAAAAAAACTCAGGAGAATATAATACTCATATGATAATATTAACATTTATCAAATGTATCAATAGGTTATAATCTAATGTAATAAAGAATTACAGCGATATAAGTGAAATTCATTTTTATGAAATGAACATTTTATAAGAACATAACTTTTTAAGATTTGGAGCGATAAGGTTAAGAGTGAGGAATCTATAGGATTTACTATGATGTGTATGTGTTTTTTTTTCTGTAAACAACTTTTCAAACGGAAAACATCCTCCAATGTATCTTTTTTGAAAGAAAATTGTGTGATGCATTTTGATGCATTGAGAAGGTAATTTATTGATTTTACAAGGTTTCACAATAATTGGAAAATTTATGAAAAAAATTATCGAAAAACCGACAAATACTAATGCCTCACCGCGGCGTTACCGATTTCATTGTTTTTATGTTTTCATAAGTTTTATACAAAAAATATTGCTTTAATCAAAAAATAGCATATTTTTTTTTTTTTATATTTTGAATACAGTTTCTGAGGGAAATCAATCATTGTTTAATATTCACAACATTGTCCACTATAATGGAAAAAAGCCAAAAACAAAAACAATTAAAACGAACAAATTTACGGCGTACCTACGATTTCATATTTTAAATGTTTAATTTTTATGTTTTCTACCAGAAATAATACATCAATCGAAAAACGACAAGATACCTTTTTTGATTTTGAATCTAGTTGGTGTGTAAGAAAGTCGGTTTTAATTTTCTGTGTAGGTTTTTTAAATAATTGAACAAAACCAAAAAAAAATCCGTTGAAAGAATGATAAAGTTTATGAAAATAATAGTTGTATTATCTTCAATTTTGTTTTTTTGTTGTGATTCCGTTAACAATATTCGTAGAACGTAAAATTTTAACAGAAAACTTATATTTGCTCTTTATTTGGGGTGAAATTTCAAAAAAATTTGAGCGATTTTTGAGCTAACATTTTATGTTTGAGAGTTTTTTACATAATTTTTATTCGGTAGGTACTGTATGGATGAAATTGTTGGACCAAAAAGAAATGCCTGCAAATTTAACAGGTGGTTCATTATAAGTTGTACTTAGTATTCAACATAAAAAAATTGAGTATAATGTAGTATTTTTTTTAAAAAAGAATTTGAATATCAAATTTTGACAAAAATCGTAATTATTACGGCCTTTTAAAACGTGTATAACCGAACTCTGTTCAGGTTAATTTTTCGTTAGCGATGATTAATAGTTGCATATAGATACACATTGAATTTCCCTCTATATTCCATTTAACCGATATCTCACCTACAACAGTGGCCCATTTGTGCGAAGTTATTGTCTTCTATATATAAATAATTTGGATAACTTTTCACGAAATCGATTGGTTTATTCGAATTTATACATATTATTATTATGTGTAGCTATTATTTCAGTGCAGTAATTTTCATTTATATTTTAAAGTATACTATAAATTTGAAAACCTTGGTGTGACAGCCATTAATTTCAATTAGATAGGTACATTTTTTTAAAAATTATTTTGCAGCATCGTTTAAAGAAAATACTATTATTTTATATTTAAGTGTTCACGACAGTCGACGATCGAATATAGGTACATAATAAAATATAGATATAAACGTACACTGGAGTTATTTTGTTTCAGATCTTCAGGGCAAAAATCATATATACAAGCTTATTGTGTATAATATGCTCCTGAACTAATGTCGGTGCAAAAATCACATAAATCTCAACAAATAGAAACTTTCTCTTTTTCTATTACTCCTAAACGATTAAAAAATTAAAGTTATTTGGTTGTTGCTCCCAGGTCTTGAACTGTACATTTTGTCAATAATTATCTGTTAATTTATTTATTAATTTTCGTATACCTATAGGTTTTATTTTGTCCACTTCGTACAATATGAAATAAACGATTTCACTAAGTTATTGCGACATAATATTATTTAATATTTTTACAGTAAATAAATAAATTATTATAATATTACTACACACGCGTCAAATATTACAAGTTTAAAATCGTATAATTATTTTTTCTGAACATATAAAAGACACCACGGAATATCAGTAGATAGTCATAATAATATTATTTTTATAATTCGACCTCGACAAAGACGTTAATTTTTAATTAAAAACGCAATGCCTTCATATTATTTAACAATGAATATATTTTATAATAATTTCGGATAGCACACTTAATCCATGCCGACTTTTAAATCACATACTGTTGGATATCGCGTGGAAGAATTAAAATTCAATCATTTGCAGACAACGGAACTCGTATTTCGGATCCAAACGTTTTATAAATGATTTAGTTTTAAATACTAAATGTTAAATATTTTTTAAATAGTTTAGTGTAATATTATCTATCCATTTTATACATCGCAGTCATTTATAATTTATAAAAAAAGAAAGGACAGAATGATGGTGTGGTCAGAAACAATAATTGTGCCACGTTCACGATCATTAATAAAATTTCAAACATAATTTATATTTTCAAATTGATTTATAATTGCACACCGAAATCTTAAGTAAAAAATATATATAATCAATATAAGAATATAACATGAAAAAAATAATCTTTCTATAACAAGCAATTGTGTAGTTGATATTTGTGCTTTAATTAATTAGATATCACTTTAAGTTATAAGATACGGTCGTTTAGCGTTGATTGAGGAAATATTAACATGAATACACGTAAGTGTTTTGTGAAAAAATGTTCTAGTGTAAAAATAAATCGTTTGATTCAAGTGACTAAAAGCTAATTATTTAGCTATGGAAATTAGCAATTCTTAATGCTAACAGATAGCGTTGTAAATCATTAGACTGCATTGCGACCCGCTAAACTTGTCTCTCGGACACTAATTTGTGGCCACTAATAAACTGCTCGTGACTAGTCCATTATATATCTTAGTCCGTCGCTATCATTGATGACTACTAATCAGTTACAACGTATTAGCTTAAAAAAAAACCCTGTCGTGTGTATTTTCCTTTAAAAAAGAATAGGTATCCTGAAAATGGCTGAAAAAGTAATGTGAAAATAATAATTATTTAAAACCACTACCTATTTTTGATTTTTAAATGGCAACCTATATTAAAAAGTCTATAAATAAATGGAGTATTAGTTAAAATAAATTTAACTATTTAATTTACTCCTAAAAATAAGGCTGACAAAAAAAACCATAAATATAAAATTGTAGAGCAGCTTGTTTCTTAAATGTTCTGAAAAACGAATTCCGGAAAAAGTTAATGCTTTCCGAGAAACTGAGTGTACCCACTTAAATGAATCACGTGGTATACAAATGGTCTGAAAAATACCGTCACCCATACAATGGCATGGTGTTATTTTTACCCATTTTACCAATTTTTATCCATTCCATTTTAGTCTCAGGTTCAAATTCAAAAACAAATTATGATTTTCTTTTTTTATACGGAAAGATAATTGTTTGCAATCGTTCAATAGTTTGTATAAAAAAAAAAAAAAAAAAATGCCTTTTGCAAAAAAGTCAGCCACGGACTAGCAAAAAAGCGCATATATTATATTATGTATACATATTTTTACATATTTAAAATTTAAAAATAATGTAATTTATAAAATACTAGCTGTCCCGCATACGACGTTACCCATGCAAATTTTTTATTTTTTATTCTATACCCTTATTTCCATTTTGCTTTGTCCCTATCAGTATATTGAACTAAAAAAAAATCGGTGGAAAGTGCGTAGTCTGTAGACTAAAAGTGTTCTAGTGTATCATCATCCCAATTGATGCAGAAAATTTATTTGGAATTGAGATGTTGAAAATTAAATTTGATATTGAGATTTAAAAAAAATTGAATCGATGGTTTTCCATGAAAATGTACAATACCTAATCTCCAAGATGAGATAATACAAATCAATGAAACATTTAAATTTATTATTGGTCGAAATAGACATATAACACCGTATAAGTTTCATCCTGGATTATAATCATTGAAAGAACTTGAAAAAATGTTTAATATTTATCCTGGACATGGTTTATACAATAAATTAACAACAGTAATACTTGAAAAAGGATTATTAAAAATATCATCCCCATTTATTATAGGTCTCGATTCGTATTTATCTGAATGTCTAGGTTTTGAATATAAAGTAAATGATAACGAATCACTTAAATGAGAAATATATATTCTAAAAATTATTGTTAAAAGTGTGATAAATATCAACTACGCCAGAACATACATTATTATACTACTAATATATTATGTAAACAATATATTCTGTTTTAATTTTGTCTAACCGACCGACAACGACGACGACGTTGACGATACGAGTGACGTAGCGCTCGATGATTTTGTTATCGCCGTATATTATACGGCCCCTTGTCGTAGTCACAGTCGATCGGTCGTGTCCGAACTTACTGTGATACTATTGAAATTTCCACGCAAAAGAAACAAATATACCAAATAGTTATAATAATAATAACAACATTAATATAGCCGGTGTCCGAATTTCTCGTGTCTCCGATGTCCGTCGTTGCACATCTCGTGGTCAATCGTTATTCCTATACACAGGCGCTTTAACGCAATTCGAAAATTTAGTTTTTTTTTTTCTTTTTCCCGGTCGTTTTACCAGGTATCATGTACCATCCAAACAGCAATAATCGCATAATGTACCGCCTATTATGGTTGCATTTCGCGTTTTACTGTTTGGCTCAGGTGACCCGCATATCGTCCGCCAACGTAAATTCCAGTGAGTTCGATAAATGCGAGAAGATTATCCCCCAGGAAAAGATCACAATGACGAAGGTACGTAACCTTACCTTGGAAAATCAAAAAAAAAAAAAAATCTCCTAAAATAGCATCTACACAATATTTCTTTTCAGAAATAGTGCCACGAGTATATATCGGAGCTAGATTTCTGGTAGAAATTTTTGTCGTCGTATAAAAAAAAAAACATTTTTGTAAAACCAATACATTCTTCGCTATACTCAGATCTAAAACATAATGTCAAATAATGTATTGATTTTATCTATAATATCTACTTCTGGACTAATGGTTATGCAAATGCAATTGTAAGTCCACTACTCTCGGAGAGGGGAAAAAGCTAACAACCCAATCAGCCCCCTTCAGGGACGTGCCTGTGTTTTTCCTGTTTTTTCTCGGCTTTATCCATTTAATATGGAAACAAGTAAGATAATCAAAAAATTACCTCCGTCAAGTACCACGTCAGTCATATTTCGTTTTAGAAAAAGTACTATACTAGAAAATCGGAACAAACTTGCTGATAAAAAAGTTGTCTACAGAAAAATAAATAGATATCATTGTTAAACCAATACTTTCCTCTCTCCGCTCAGAATATAACATTTGCTAAAAATAATAATTTTATCTGAGATTACGACGCCCTAAGATACCATTAGATTTCACCGGTGAAAACAATTTTTCTCAAATTTTTGTTGTTGTTTAATAACTGTTAGGTTTTATTGGTAACTGGGATTCTGACGTTTGAGAGCAGTGAAATTATAGATAATTTAGGCGTGATTTGGAAGTAGTTTAATTATAAACAATTATTACAATATTTATTTATTTTTATATTCTACAAGCAGACATAATTCGCACAATGGGTGGGCCACTGTTGTAAGTAAAAAGTTGGAAACGTAGGGAGAATTCTTAATGTACATCTGTACGCAATGACTAACATTGCTAACGAAAAACGATTCTGAACGAAGTTCGTCTATACATATTTAGATAGGCCATAATATTTACAATTTTCTCGTTTTTCCTAAGGTTTTTCTTGGTTTTTCCATTTATTGTGAAAACCCTGTTAGAATCGATGACGACCCGGGAAATATTGCATTAATTTTTTCCCTTTTGCCTAAATATGAAAAACTAAATGCATTTTAGGTGAGCATAGAGACCTTAACCCGGTCTATTTTAATTAAAATATACACTTAGATTTGTTGTACACAATTTTCTACCAGAAATCTTGCTCTAATGTATTAAGTGTAACATATTTTCCGAAAGTCAATTTTTACTACGAGGTACTAGGAAGTCATTTTTTGACCTTCCCAAGAGTTTTTCCAATAATTGGAAAAGCTATAGGAAAAACGGAAAATGTACGCAATTTAGGTAATATGGTAATAAAATATTATGGCCTTTTTTTTCCTGTGAACAACTTAAATACTTGCAATTTTGCTTCGTTTTATACTGAAAGCACTTTCTCTAAAAAAAAAATCTGACTGAAGTGGTACTTTACAGAGGTTATTTTTTGATATTCCCAGGAGTTTCCTAACAAATCGGAAAACCGGAAAATAAATACAATAATATACAAATATTATTAAAAAAACTATATAATGAAAAAAAAACGGAAAACCGGAAAATAAATACAATAATAAACAAATATTATTAAAAAAACTATATAATGTATATGTGTTATTATTTTACCATAATATGACATATATATTGTTACCAAAGCAATACTATTCGCCGAACTCTGCTCAGAATAGTTTTTTATTAGCAATGTTTAATCGTTGTGAACAGATATATGTTTAATTTATCTTCTATTTCCTCAACTTCACACCTATTACAGTGGCACACTGATGTTCGAAGTAGGTCCGTCTTTTTTTGCGGTTTTACTCAGTTATCAAAAAAACTTCTGGGAAAATTTAAAAAAGACCTCATTCACGCCAACTAGAATAAAAATTTAACCAAAAATATATTTTGTTGTTTTTCTATTTCAAAAATATTTCTTTTAGAAAAAAAAAAATTAGTTTATTAACTTTAAATATTTCAATAATTCGATATCATGGAATTATTGTTGAATAACTACTCTAAATTCGAATCTGATACTTATACACATAAGGAATAGTAAAACCAATGTAAAATATTTCAATTCAATAGTGTATAGTATCGGAAAAAAAAAAGAAATTGAGATTGTAGGTTGCTGAAAAAATTTCAATGCATATTTGTAAACGACGACAACCAAATAATATAGATATATTATAGTAATAAACGTAATAGAATCGTTTATTAATTATAATAATTCTTGTTCCATTCACGTTTATTAACTTCAAGTGGCTACAATTAGCATAAATTCTTATATATGTACAAATAATATTCAAGCAGAATTATATTTTTTATTTATATTCGTTAGTAGTGGCGTGTTCGGTTTTTTCCTATAGAGGGGATGAACTGTATTTTTTTTGGTGATAGTCATATACATAAATTTACAAAATGTACTTATTAGTTATTGGTATATACATTGATATTTTAGGATTAGGTAGTTAGGTATAAATTACAATGTTAGTATATAAATATAATATACATATACCTATTTTAGATTCTAAGTTTAGCGAAGAATGTATTGGTTTTACAAAGATATTTATTTTTTATTTTTTATACTGTGTAAAAAAATTCTACTAGAAATCTTGTTCAGATGTATACAATGTAGACCCTTTTCTAAAAGGAAATTTTCTTGGGGTGGTACTAAAGAGAAGTAATTTTTTAGTTTTCTCGGCAGTTTTCCCAATAAAAGAAAAACTGGGAAAAAATGTTAGAAAAACAGGAAATTTACGAAAATAACGCTTTTATTATTATTGAAATATTGTAATTTGTTGTAATTCAGTTTAAAATATTCGTAGACTTGAAATTTGAACAGAAAACTTATATTTGCCTTTTATAGACATGCTAAAATTTTCCAAAAAATGTAAACCATTTTTGAACTATTTTTTAGACCTTTTAATTTTGAGAGTTATGTACTCAATTTTTATTCGGTAGGTACTCTGTGGTAAAATTATTAGACTTAATAGAAATGCTTGGAAATTTTACAGGAGGTTCATTAAAAGTCTTACTTTGTGGTAAAAAGTGAAAATTTGAGTTTAATGTAGTATTTTTTTCATAATGGAATTTTAATGTCACATTTTGATGAAAATCGTCTGATTAAAAAATTTTGTGAAATAAATCTAATTTAAGAATTTTTATTTTGAACATATGTACATATATGTCCGATATAAGAACGATGGTGATATCCGAATTAAACGGACTAAGTAAATTTTGAAATTATATATATTTGAAGTTCTGATATGATGCGGATATTATATTTTATGTTAAATAACTCTATATTGTCATCTCTAGAGTATGTTTGTCGTAGCCGAATGGTTATTCATACCTATAGTTTCATCCTAAAGTTTGCGAGTTCAAACCCGTATTTTGAAAATAAATGTTTTGCACTTATTTTTTCCCTTTTACCTAAACAGGGAAAAAACAAATACATTTTAGGTGTACCTAGAGACCCAGCTATCGCTCGCTCGGACTATTTTAATCGAAAAATTTCGATTTGTTGTGCAAACTTTTCTACAAGAAATCTTGCTCCGATTTTGAAGTGTGGAACTTTTTCTGAAAGAAATCGCACTGAGGAAGTACTATAGGAAGGCCGCCTTTCGATTTGCTTAGGAGTTTTTTCAATAAATAGGTTGAAATGGGAAAATGTATGAAATGTAGGTATTAGTTAAGAAATATTACGGCATTTTGTTTCCTGTGAATAATTTTATTACCAACTATTTCACTCTGAAAATAGGTAGGTACAAATAGTATAAGAGTTTAAACTATGAAATTTAAATGAAGGGCTGTATTATGCAAACTTCCCATCATCACACTTTGTATTATTTACAGAGCTTTACATTTTTTCCAACATTTGCCAAAAAATTTGCAGCAGTGTCCAACAAACCCATGTAAACATTGTTGGATGTAAACATTTTTTAATCATTAAAGCAAAGTGTGGTATTGTCTATGTACTTGGCACCAAAATTTTAAAAGTTGAATAACTTTTTTCAAATTTTTACCAGCAAATTTCAAAAACTTTCCAAGAAGTCAAAATAGAGATTGAATGAATGTTTTTTTTTTAAGTTTTTGCGAACTTTATGGTATTAGCTTTTTATAGGTTCTTTAGGTAATTATAAAATATTGTGCACTATAAGGAAATCTATAACCATTAATAGTGTGAGAAAGTTTAACAATAAAGATATCAACATTCTAACATTGTTAGAAATAATATGGTTTAAAGTTTAGGTGGTATTCAACTCCCTTCATATGCGACAGTATTAGTTATCCCTTATTTAAAAAGTAAGTAATCGATAACAGGCATAATATGTGTAATATCTACAATTTTGACGATATTCCGTTTTTGTCTTCGAAAATCGCCAATTAGATTTGTTCGGCCCTATTAGTTAATATTTGTTTTACCGTGCTTATATTGTCTCATAAAAAGTATCTTTATACGTATTTTAATGAAAAATAATGAGTAATAAATTCAAATGCCAATCAGAAAAAGTCCAAAAATTATAAAAAATGTAATTTATTATTGTTTTCAGGTAAATGGAAGATGGTATGTGATTGAAATCTTTCATCACAAATTAATCAACAATCAAAATTGTTCACCTTACCCCAGGGAAATCCCATTGGAATTGATCTGCTGCCCTTATATAGAATTGTCTGTTAACAAACACAATTTATCGGACCTGAAACTTCTGTGGGTGGACGAAAAAGGTGAAATTGAATATCGATTCAAAATCAATGATATGAATTCCCCCGGAACATGGATATCGAGTGGAGCGCAAAATGGTAAATGTAAATGAAAAGGGCTGGTGTATTGCTGAAGGGTATGTCACTGTTTAAAGAGGGAAATTAGAAGGAAGAGTATGTAGAGTAATTAATTTATATTTGTACGAATTTAACCATTGCTATCGAAAAACATTTTTGAACAGATTATTATTATTATTAGTTATATTATGTTTTCTTTGTTGGTAAGATAATTTAAAAATTATCGAAAATTATACGAAACATTGCGAGTTTTACCATTTATTAAAGGAACAACAAGGAAGATAAAACAAATGGCTTAAATCACAATACACCAACTAAACTTTGGGATGTTATTTTAACGATATATACGAAGTATTACGCTGAGGGTAAGCCTATAAAACTTGCGGTCTGTCACAGGTTCAATGGTAGATAAGTGCTATAAGCAATTCGCGGGCACAGTGTTTGTTCGAAAGGCGGTCAACGACCACATGTGGTTGCAGTTCTGTTCGCCCAACACTTATCTCTACAGCGTGGTGATGGCTCGGGAACAATTGCTGGATCAGAAGGTGGTGACAAGCATCGTAAAAATCATGGATTTCCAAAAATTACCAATTACGCTGAGGACGCAGACGTGCGGGAGTTCTTCGTCGACTACGCGGGCCACGGTCTGGCTGACGGTCGCGGTCACGGTTCTCTGCTTCCGCCTCTACAAAACCGACTAAGGCGTCTTGGATAGGCCCGGGATTGACGAAGAGTCTCGTCCGAGAAATGAGAACGAATACACATACAAACACACACACACACACACACATACTCATAATACCGTATAACACTATATAATATTTAGTTACAAAATGGCGTTATTAGAATTTCGTCAGGGAACTATAAACATTTTAACAAAATACATTTCTTTTTTATATCTTACGGTAAAATAATTATAAAAACTAAATTCCTGTTATTTTTTTCCATATGGATGGATATGAATTCGTCCACCTCACTGCATCATCTTCACTTACATCGTCTAACAACAATTTGTAATTTCTTTGTCGCGGGGACGGCTGATATCTGCTGTTGAAAAGTTTTTTTAAAAAAAATAAAAGTACCAAATCAAAAAAACTAGAAACCTTTTTAGTAGGGTATTGGAATTGTAACTACAATTAATTTAGATAAATATTATCTAATACCGAACTTTACTGCTCACGGGTGTCATAAGTAAATAATTTATAATGAAATTATAATTTTTAACAACGTCAATGGATGAATTGTAAGCGGGAAGAGAATATTATTTTAAAATCTTTTAAATCGAGTTTATTTTTGTGAACAATTTTTGTTGAAACATATTTCTTGATCTGAATATAATTTTACTATTTTTTTTTATTTATCAAAACAATGTGCAATTCTACTAAAATAAGTACAATTTGACCTTACTCACTCTTTTAAACTTGCAATGGGGTACCCAGAAAAATGTTTAAATTTCTTTTCGTTATTCTTTACTCCTGGATACACTACTAGGAGAGTACAACTCTTGTGCCAGATAAAAATGATACAGTCTATTTTCAAACGGATTTTCTTCTATAACAGAAATCTAGAACGATGGTTTAGGGTATTTGTTTGAACTTTCAATTGATCGCTCTGTACTCCCAAAGGAAATTTCTTAAGTTCCACACCAAAGTACAAGTGTAAATAGATTTTTAAATACTACTGGAAATTTCTTATGTATCACTGCCACCGCTGCATGCCAAACGCGAATTTGAATAGGTTTGTGGTCACAACCCCGTCACCGTTTCCCGTCAGACATATCCCCGTCCAATAAACCTCAAACAAACAAACCCAAATTGTATTTTAACAAATTGTATAATATAGGTATAATTAATATAAGATTAGAAGATCTGTATATATATTTTTTTTTTAAACTAAAATAAAATAATTTATTGTCTGTTGATATCATTGTATGAATGAGTCGCGGCCGGTTTCACTGTATTTGGCTTATGCGAAAACATATTATCTATAACAATACCGACATAATTTAGATAAAAGCAGTGGCGTAGTAGGTACATAATAGTGTTATGGTACTTTGTTATAAACAGTCTTTCAGCAATCATCGTTCTTATAATAATATATTTGTCCGTTGGTTTTCTTATTCGGTCTTGTGTATTAAATATTTTATTCGAATTTTATTTTTTTTTTTAATTTTTTTTTTTTATTTCGAAGTGTCAATTATTTATTATGGATACGTAAAAATTGAAATACTTGCAGTTTTAGTTTTAAAAAAAAAAAGTTTAAGGTTAATTGGACGGGGATATTTATCGGACTGGGATATGTTTGACGGGGAAAAGGCGACGGGCATGTGCTACCTTCGAATCATCCCTTCAATACTATTAAATTTCCGTTCTCGTCTATACTTTTGCTCAATTTATCGGATGTCCGTATCATACATTATTATTTTTAATAATATTCATTTTTTATAAAAAATATATTAATGCTTCGATTTAAACGCGAACAATACAGTTTTATTTACACACGTCAATATATATTATGTATTATTTTATATACTTATAAATTACAAACGACTATACTAATACGCTAATAGGTTTTACTGTAGGTGTGTAAGAATTCGGTGGAAAGCCCGCAGAGCCCTTGGTTTATAACAAAAAATTGACCAACCAAAGGAACCATTTTGCAACTCTTTTAATGTTCTACCGAATCATGTATACGCCGGGTGTGTACCCGCTAGCACTTTTAAGTTTACTTAGTCGCCACTTTTACTACTTTTATTTATATTCATATGGATGATGGAACATCTGAGATTAATAGATTCAAAAACTACTAGACCGAAGTATTGCAAAATTAAAGTATTGAATCTTCGATCCGTTAAGCTGTTATCAAATTGTTGTTAGATTTGATGGTTCTAATTATTGTTTTATGATTCTAAACTAAATACAAAATTGTTTGCGGAACTGATAGATTTTTTTGACTCGTTATTTTGCATAATGTCAGTAACTTTTAAACAAAAATAATGCAATAACTGATTCAAGAATTCAAATAACGTTTTGAATTTATTCAACATTTTTAAAATAATATATAACTGCTACTAACCAACTACCCCATCGAGTAATGGTTATCTCACGTGAAAAGCACAAATTAGGATATATTAACTCTTTAAATTTAAGTTAGAAATTAATTCCAAGAATACTACGAGAAACTCTTAATAACACTCTTATTACAGTTGCGATTAATGAATATTAACGAAATATGTATTTTTTGGTAAAATATTTAAATATATATATCATCAAATGTGAACACATTACGTAAATAAAAAAGTTTTATTTTATTCGGTGTATTATGAAACCTATTTATTTTTAATCAGAATTAAGAAACCTACATCCGATAAAATTATGTTCTTACATGAAAATCCGCGTTCTAGTAATTACACATCTTATTTGAAGTACATGTCAATAATCACACATTTTATTTGAATATATCTTAATAGTTCGATGCTTATGACTTTTCTATTGATCATTTTCGACACGGATTCTCCATCGCTGTTTTTATCAGCTCAGTCTAACTAGAATCTGACCATCTAATCTAATCTAATCTATCCACACACGCCGTGATCATTGCACTGATTTGTGACCCCGAGTCGAGAAGAGCTCAAACCGGCTGCATACAACCAGTATGGTCGCGAACGTGCACTAACGCAGTTTCTTTTCGAACGGTTGTCTTGCTTTTGGGACTTATAAATAAGTGGGTGAAGGTACCAGGATCGGAAACCAGATTAATTTTGAGGTGTTAATCTCCTAATGTAGCCACGAATGGTGGCGGCCAGAGCATATTGTGCAAGACTTGACGACCTTGCAGTGAGAAGACTAATGAGTGGAGGCAAGACAACGGATACACAACTTAATCTTTCGAGCGACTTCATATCTTTTATCTAATGACATCTGGAAAAACTTCGAAAAATTAGTAGAAGGATGATTTCCCGAACAAAACAAGCATTTTGGGGGGATTGAGGTTCCGGGTTTCGCGGCAATCAATGACACTTTGGAATTTTTAGAATTAACACGACAAATAAGAGATTTCGGTTGGTCACGTGTCGGAAGTCTAGAACAAGCAACGGCTTCCAAGAGCGACACATGTGTTTTAACGTAGGTGACGATTTCTGACAACACCGAAAACTCACTTTTGTTAGTTGCCTCAAAGGCTTTTCGAATGAACAATGGCAAGCAACGCGAGAACAATGCGAACAACAGTTTATCTAAAGAAGGGATGTTCAAAGATTCCAGTACTGATATATGGTCCAAAAACAAAAATAAAAATCGTTTTAGATCGTCCATCGACCATTGAACGTTGAGAGGAGTTTCTCGAACTGTCGCCAACTGCCTTGGTTTATCAAAGCGTTCGGATAGTGTTGACCAAGCGAGGTCATAGGTCACGTCAGAAACAGGAATATTTTGTATGGCGTTAAGAGCATCACCGATGAGGCAACCCAATAAGTAATAATATCGTTCTATATTTGAAAGCTCGAAACGTTTGGCAATGAGACCGGTATAGCGATCTCGAAAAACAGGCTATCCGATTAGCTCTCCCCCATTTATCGCTAATGGAATCTCGGGGTCATGATAACCATTGAACGACCTGCGCATTCTCGTTTGGTTTGTCAAAAACTGGGAAAGGCATACTATTAACGATAGTTTTAGAGGCAATAACTAGCTCACATATTTCTGTGGAAAATTCAGAATAATAATCTGCGGACGCACCCAGCGTTATCAAACTATCCAGAACCGAATTATCTTCCGACTTGAAATGCGCTCACAGCCGATCCTAATCGGTGGCAGCAATTAAAAATTTGGGAATCTCGTTAGGCTGAGCTGCAACGTGTAAAGACTGCGCGTGGATCGCACGGATACGAGAAACTGCAGTGTTACGTTTGAAAGTAGCTCTGATCTTAGTCTTTTCTACTCGTGCCTTCTCCCTGAATCCAATACCTTCCAACATTATGGCCGTGATATACAATGTGACACTTGAATCGAGGTTCTTTTCAAAAGAGATAAAAGGAAAAAGAAAATAAAAACAAATAACAACTTAAACGTTCACAGGAGTTGGGAAATCAGATGCAGCCCAAATAGTATGCGACGGTTAAAGAAATACAGGTGTAGCTACAGTAGGTACCCCGGTAGATACCTAGACAAAGAATGAATAAATTCCTAAAATAAATTGTAGTGCACGAGTGTATATAGTTTGCACTAAATTGCTTCTAATTAACACGATAAAATAATATCGTGCTACACCAGATCGTAAAAAAAAAAAAATAAAAATTAATTACAGGGCACTAGTAAATTTTTTAGAAAATCGCGTTCTGCTACCAAATGTTGCGCCGACAGGTTCCTACGATTTGGCGGTTACGATATGGACCTGACAACTTGCGCCGAGTAGATAATTGGATGGTGAGGTAACAATATTAATTTAAAGTTTTAGAAATTTAGAAAAACCAACCAAGGTGACACCCGCAACGAACCAGGCGATGAAGATGTGACGACGGCTGCAGATCGTGGGCTCGACCACAAAAATCAGGACGACTGTTACAGTTCGCTGATATTGCTGCAAACCACGCGTAACCGTATAAAAGTAAAAGTTTAGCGGTTGGTGATTAAGTACGCGTCGACAGCAGTTAGTCACACCAATAATTTTAACGCGAATAGTGACGGGTAAGGGTTTCAGTTAGGTTTTAAAAACCACAACCCGTATAGCACTCGGATTGTCGATACACGCGAGAGCGGCACAAAAATAACGGCAAAAAAAGAGTGCGCGGTGACCACAATCATCCACCTCACGAACGATACATGGAAGATGACGGATGACACTCGCTGTGTTTATTATTTTTATTATTTTAAATTATGTTAATTTCATCCGTGTTGCTATGGTTATCCATAATTCAACAAAAATAATTTAATTTTCGTACCAAAAATACCTCAACACCTTTCATTCCCTATTTCATCTACTTCAAATTTTATTTTCATAATAAAAACTCACCTAGGTTATTCTCCTCCGTTATTCTCCAAGGTCACATCTATCTGTATCCCAAAATTCATAAAAATCCGTTCAGTAGTTTTTGTGTGAAAGGGTAACAAACATCCATCCATCCATACATCATCACAAACTTTCACATTTATAATATTTTTAGTACTACAATATTATATTTTCTTTTAGTAAAATTACACGTTTTAAGTACTTAAAAATCGTAAATAATTACCAAGTTATTCGATTAAAATTGTACAATATTCGTTTACTTAATATTTTACAATTGTGTTGCAAAAATGATGAAAATAGTTCGTACGTAGGTGGACCAATGTTTTAGTTGAAAAGTTGAGGAGGTAGAGGGAAAATTTAATGTTTATCTATAAGCAACAATTAACCATTGCTAACGAAAAACGATAATAATGTTAATAATGTTGCTTTTTCAACACTATATATGTCTTATTATGGTAAAATAATTACATATGCATTATATATTTTCATTAATAATATTCTTATCTATTTTCCCGTTTTTCCTACTTTTTTTCCTCTGATTTTTCCCATTTATTGGAAAATAAAAGAGTAGCTGGTAGAAAAATTGTTCACAGAAGAATAATAAAATAAACATCATTGTAAAATCAGTACATTTTTCGCTCCACTGAGAATCTAAAAGAGGAAATATCAGAAGGTTGGTACAAGCAAATTGGAAAAGGACTAAAATAACGAAATATTGTAGACGCCCGATGTGCGTTGAGGCAAATAATATCAGATTAAAATTTAGAAATAGTTGGAAATTAAAATAACAATATATACTTTACATTTTGAAATCCGTGATTCTACATTTTTGTATTGATAGAAAACGTGCGCTTAAACCAGCACATTTTTAATTTTTGATAAACATTTTATGGAATTGATCATTTTGAATAAGATCAAATTTCTCTCTAGGTATTCTATACTGGGTTGGGAAATGATTTAAAAATTATTTACAATTTGTTGGTACAATTTTAACGTCCATTCCTCAAAAGGGGGCGGGGTTATGTGAAGTTGGCCCGCTTATTTTATTTCGTTTATACCGGACTGGGTAATGATTTGCAAAGTTTAGAAAATCAATTTGAAGATATGGGCAAATTATTTGCAAAATGATTAATAAACATAATTTTCAAATTTGGTCGTGGGGTGAGGGCAAACTTCACACACGTAGTATATGGAAGGTAATACATTTTTTTTTTTATAAAAACTACCTACAGTTAATTTGGTAGAAATCTATTCAGTTTTTAAATTCTTTTTTTATATTAATTAAATACTTTTTTTCGAATGTTAAACGCTTTTATTATTGTTTATTCTTTGAACCCTAGTAATCTCGGTCTGCACTGTTTCGCAATTTACTATACTCATCCGCCCACTTTGCAGTACACGTAAATGAGATAAAATTGTATCGTGAAATGATAACAATATCGAGTATTCGAGTATCGAGTAAGAGTGTAGCTGATGATTTGATAATAACCAGAACTATAATATCATACTTACCATACTTTTAGCCCTATGGATCTTTCAAACATTTTTTAAACAGCTAAAGTTCGTTTTTTGTAATCGCTACCGATATAACTATGACCAATGGCCATATTATTATCTTCTATACGATTTTTGGGTTTGCGTTCATTCGATTTAGAGTATTTCCCATTTATTGACTCCGGAAGTGCAAACAATGTACATAACCGCATCGTTTTAGGACAAATTGAATATTACCACGAGTATATTAATAGTCAGTTTCCTCACTAACATATTATTACGTGTCTTCTAAACTACACGACGCAAAAATCATCCCGTCCCGTATTAATTAGTCGGTTCTGCGGCTAATTTCTAACAATAGTGTATACTTTAGTAGTATGAGGGTCTATTTATATTGGTATGTCTATTGTATGTGTATATAAAATGAAATTTATGTTATCGGAATTCTTCTTCTTTGTTATTGAATTTTCCACGAAAATGAGATGATTGCATTAAATTATGTTATCTCCCAATTTCTTAACTACGACATTGGCACACTCATAATTCAAAATATTTTTATTTTTTTTCCACACGGACATAATCTGCAATAATGTACACAATACGCATAAACATTATGAACACAAAATAAAAACTAGCAATTATGTAAGAAAAAAAAAAAGCCGCCTTAGGATAATGAGGACAGGTGGGCACTGTTGTATAGATGGAAAGTTGGGAAGGAAGAATACAAAAGATAATTGAATGTATATCTGTAAGCAACGAAAAACTATTGCTTACTAAAAACGATTCTGAGCGGAGTTCAGTTGATAGCGATGTTTTGTTGACAAATTATAATATACCATATTATGGTAGAATATTAAATAATTAGGCATAATTAGGCAAAAATAGGCATTATAACACTTCTTTAATCATATTTATTTAATATTGTACTGATTCTCCCGTTTTTTCCTGCACTTTTCCCATGTTTTATATATATTTTTAATAAACCGAATGTCGTGTTTATATATATATTTGTGTGTCATAATTGGATAATAATCGAGAATTACATTATCATACGTAAATACGAGTATGGAGTTTAACGTCTCCAGACAATCGATAAACGATTTAGCTAAGTGTTATATGAGGTACCCATCACACAACTGTCTAAAATGTAATAATGTTGTCCTACATACGTATACCTATAGCGATACTGTAATGGACAATATACATTATACGTTCCGCTTATCGACAGTACAACCACAATACTCTACAAACACTAATAACGATCGATATTTCTGAGTAAAAATAAAAAAGCTGTCCTAAGATAATGGGGACGGGTGCAGCCACTGTTATTAGTGAGAAGTTGGAAAAGTAGTAGAAGAGAAATTTAATGTATATCCGTAAGTAACGATAAATTATTGTTAACGAAAACACCATTCTGAGCGGAGTTCGGTTGATAGTGTTGCATTATATATATATATGTAATATTGCGGTAAAATAATGACATATACATTAAACATTTTCTTCAATAATATTTGCTTAATATTGTAACTATTTTCCTGTTTTTCCAACGTTTTTTCCCGTTTTTCCATAGTTTTTTCACAGTCTTTTCAATTTATTAGAAAAACCCTGGAAAAATCAAAAAATTACTTCCTTAAATAACCTCTTCAGTCCGAATTCCTTTCAAAAAAAGTGCTATATCATTGTCAATCAGACCAAATTTGCTGGTAGAAAAGTTGTTCACAGAAAAAAAAAAATCCTCATTAAAAAATCAATACTTACTTCACTCCACTCAGAATCTATAATTATTTACGAACGGTAGAGAGGGTGGCGGAGATTTGAAAACCACAAAAGTCGGTTCTGGGGAAGTTCAAAATGTTTTTCAACAAGTAATATTTGTCAAACAATAAGTAAAATTGGTAATAAATCTAACAAGAAGTTAGGTTAGGTGCGATGGTTCTAAATGGACCGCGATAAAGGCCTAAAAAAAAAAAGAAAAAGTAAAATATAAATATAAATAGTTCTTAACGAGTTAACTTTTAAACTTTGTCTGGTTATTGCCCGGAAATTTTGCTTTTAGCGAATTTATTTTTCGGGATAAATAAATCGGAAGAGTCGTCGAGAACATATTTCCGGAAATATCTATACGGAGTCGCATGTTTATGTGTTAGGTACATATATACATGCATACATACATACACACATATGTACACATTATATTCTGTTTTAATTTTGTAATTTCGTGCGTGCGGCACCGACGAATAACACGGGCGATTAATAATATGGAAAAAAAAAATGTTTTTTAAATGGGCCTACCGAGCTCCGTTACCGTTTAAATTATCATAATCTCTTAACAATCCTTAATTGGACGGACCGCATCCGCACTCTGCAATACCGCCGCTGCCGTCGGGACGACCGACGACGACGACGACGTAGACGAGACGAGTAGCGTATAGCGCTCGATGATTTTATTATCGCCGTACATTATACGATCCCTCGTCGAGGTTACAGTCGATCGGTCGTGTCCGAATTTGATGTGATAGTAACGAAATTTCCACGCAAAACAAACAAATATAGCTAATAATATTAATACAAATAATAATAATAATAATAAATCCGCCGTCCGAATTTCACGTGTCTCCGATGTCCATCGTCGTGCGTCTCGCGGTCACTCGTTTTTCATATAAACGCGCGTTTTAACGCGAGTCGAATAATTAGCGTTTTTTTCTTTTTGTTTTTTTGACTCTTTCCGAACAATTTCCCGGACGTTTCATCCGGTGTCATGTACCGCCCGGACAGCGATAATCGAATAATGTACCGCCTGTTGCAGGCGCTTTTCGCAGTTTACTGTTTGGCTCAGGTGGCCCGCATGTCGTCCGCCGACAACGTGAATTCCAGCGAGTTTGATAAATGCGACAAGGTCATCCCCCAGAGCAGCATCAAAATGAGCAAGGTACGTAGCAATACGAACGACGACAGTCGCGCAGGAGTTTGAAATATTTGTTTCGTGCAAAAAAAGGCCGAATCCGGTACACAAAAGTAATTAATTTGTCTGTATCTTCGGCGAAAAATGAATTAGATATCTATCTAAATCTGAATGAAGAATATAAATTAATTTTAGAAAAAAAAATTGTTAGCTAAATCATCTACTTAATGTTATACTAGGCCAGTTTTATTAAACAACGAATGAGTTTGCACATGGATTACATTTAAATAACATAACATTATAAATATAACTTGCCAAATCAAAAAATAGCAAGAGAGTATCAAGTAATCAAGTCCTTATTTTTTTTATTTCGTTCGATATCGGCTGTATAAAGTCATCCTTAGATATCAAGAGTTTTTTAATCAATGAAGCATGATACAATATTCACTTCTTCTTTTTCTTACCTACACAATTGGACTTTTTTTGTAATATTTAAATTTTTGGTGGAAATTCATAAGTTTTTTTCAGATTCTCATTTAATTACATGATATTTTGTCACCAGAGTTACAAGAGTAACATTATTGATAGATCTTTATCAATACGTCTAAAAGTGTCGGCGTATAGACGATTCTATAAGCGTTTATCTTCCCCTCTCTTCCAAATAGGATTTATATAGATTTTTATTTTCCTCATAATTATCGTAATTAGCACCTTATAAAAACCTATATAATATCTATATTACAAATTCCAGTGCTCTAATTCGATTGTAAGTATCTTTTATTTTGTATCTTGGACAATATTCCACCTAGACGTATGAAATTTGGAATACTGTTTTATTTTTTGATAATTTTAACTCCCATGAAGGATCCAGTTTTGTAATATAACCTACCTCGAAATGGTTCACACACATTTTGAAAAGTGACCGGACATTTTCTAGGACACTATCCTGAATTCAATTAAGTTTTAACCGTCACATTATTATAATCTCCTTGTAAACATACTGCAGCTGCAAGTCTACGACAAATTTCAACTTTACTGAGTTAGATATACGTTTTTGCCTCTAATATTTAAATGATTTAATAGGTATAATGGCATTAACCTACGTATATAAATTATGAAGTTGTCCAATCGTCAAACACTTAATAACATCTATTTTTAGGATGGAATTAACCAATTGATATCATAAATTGCAGAAATTTAAAATTTTCACGGATAATAATTTAAAATTTAAATATATAGAACATAAGTAGGTAGTACACATAGGTGTATAAATTCAAAAATTTTTATTATAACTAAATATTAAGTTAATAGGGTTAATTTATTTTAATTAAATAGTTTTTATAATTGTACCACGTCCTACATGGCTACATACACAAAAATCATATTATGACTGCAACTATACAAGGAGTCCCACGATGAAACTTTTAATAACTTTTATTCAATTTAATATTTTTAATGTAAATATGTTTAAACAATTAGTGTGCTCCTGCACTATCACTACAATTAATAAATATATTTCGTTTTTTTTTTTCGAGGAATTTATAATTTTACTATAATTTAAAATAGTAATTTTGTAAAATAGACTTTTAGACAATTATACTATTTATGATACTAATTATGATTAAATGTATAGAAAAAAATACTTTGATTTTTTTACACGATACAAATTATCAAATCATCTGTACACGACGATTAACTATAGCTAATAAAATCGATTCTGAGCGTAGTTCAGTTAATAGTGTTGCTATATAATATTTACAAATTATGTCATAATATTTACGAATTTCATCAAAATTTGTATAAAAAAAAAAACTATATAAAACTCAATTTTTTTTTTAACTGCAAAGAACGGCTTAGAATGAACCTTCTCATAAATTGTCCAGCATTTCTGTTCGGTCTAACAATTTCACCGAGTATCTATCGAAAAAAATAAAGTAGAACAGAATAGAGCAAATAAATCCATTTAAATATTTTGGAAGCATAATAAGCAATGATAGAAGATCAGAAAAGGAAACAAAATGTAGGATAGCGTAGACACAAAAGACTTTACTTAAGAGTAAATTACTAACAACTGAAAAATGTAGTTCTAAGAATAAAAAAAAAACGTTTAATTAAAACGTAAGTATGGAATAAAGCACTATATGCAGATAATAAATCATGAACGCTGATTAGGTTTAATCATGGTCGTTGAACAAAATTCATGAAGCCAAATTAATATTTTAAACTGAATCACAACAAATAACACAATTGAAAATAAAAAAAATCATTATTTTCTTAATAATAATTTTCCCGTTTTTCTTATGTTTCCACCAAGTTTTTTCAATATATTAAGAAAAACGCTAGGAAAATCAAAAAATAACCTTTTAAAGTAGCATCAACATAATATTTCCTTTGAAAAACAGTGCCACGCGTACATATCGGAGCAAGATTACTGGTAGAAATTTTTGTCATCGTGTAAATAAAAAAATGAAAAAAAAAACATTTTTGTAAAATCATTACATTCTTCGCTACAATCAGAATCTAAAAAACTATGTCAAATAATGTATTGATTATATCTATAATATCTACTGCTGGACTAATGACTATGCCAAATGCAATTGTAAATCTACTTCTCCCAGAGGGGGAGGGGGCAACAACCCAATCAGCCTCCCTCAGGGACGTGCCTGCGCTTTTCCTAAGTTTTTCCCCGGTTTTACCCATTTAATATGGAAACAAATAAGATAATCAAAAAATTACCTCCGTGAAGTAACAGTTTAGTCATATTTTGTTTTAGAAAAGGTACTATACTACAAAATTAGAGCAAACTTGCTGATAGAAAAATTGTCTACAGAAAAATAAATCATTGTAAAACCAATACATTTCTCTCTCCGTTTAAAATATAACATTTGCTAAAAATAATATAATCATATTGTATTGATTTTCCCGTTCTACCTGGTTTCCCTTCCTGTTTTTCTGGTTTTTCACATTTGCTAGGAGAACTCCTGGAAAAATCTAAAAATGGCTTACATGTTGCTACACTTAAAAATCTGAGCAAGATGTCTGGTAGAAAAGTTGTCCACAGAAAAAAAAACAAAACAAAACATCTTTGTGAAACCATAAGCTTCTTCGCTCCACTCAGAATCTAAAAATTCAATAGTATACTTTATTTGAGTACGCGTTATTAGTAGACGATACACTGGACTATTAGTGAACAAATTATTTTTAGACTGAGGTACACATAGCAAGGCGATGATTATGCCAAAAGTTTAAGATGGAAGACAATTTTGTTTGTAAAATGCATAAAACGAATATTTTATTTATACATTTAATTATAAATAAACAAACTCAATTATGAGGCTTGCACAGTTCTAAATGACCATGCAGAAAACATAAGAAAAAAATATCAAAATAATGTAACCACGAAGCTACTTTGCCGTAAATATTAATCAATTTAAATTGTTTGATTTTTCCCAATTACTACGAAAACGACATTGGATATCGAATAACGACTTACTCTGTCAGCAGTGAAATATTAATTGAAACAAAAATTTTCTTTAATAATATTTATTTAATATTTTTCGGTTTTTCCCATTTATTATGAAAACTGGTAGGAAAATAAAAAAATTAACTCAGTCTTATTAGGTAATTAAAATTTACCCAGTCAGATTTCCTATTAGAAAAGGTGCTATCATTGTAAATCGGAGCAAAATTGCTGTCTGAAAAGTTGTCCACTGAAAAACAAATATAAACATCATCGAAGAAGCTTATAGTTTTACATAAGCTTCTTCGCTCCACTTAGAATATTAAAACTCGGATCATAGTAAAACCTATAGGTCCTTTGTTACACTCCGAATCTAAATAACCAATACAATTGGTAAATACTTGTAAAACCAATACATTCTTCAATACATAGAGAAACGTTTTATTTGTGTAAAATAGTCGTATCGTCTGTATTAAAGAAACGACGACAACAAAATAATATATCCATCTAATAATATTTTAGCAATAAAACATAGTTGAATCTTTTAGTAACTACAATAATTCTTGTTCCGTTCACGTTTATTAACGTCAAGTGGCTACAATTAGCGTAAGTCATTATATATGCATAAGCAATATTTAAAAAGAAATATATTTTTCGTTTATGTTCGTTAGTAGTTATAACAATATTATAATAGTATTATAATAGTAGTAGGGTCCTCCGTAACCATTTATTTAATCGATTGGTTGAAAAAAATTAAACTGTATTGTATTGAAAACGAATTAGTTTTATTTAAAACACCTTGTCATAGTTGTTTTAATAAAAAAAAAAAAACAATAATCATCACTATTATGTAGTCCCAATAGATAAAATCGATATGTAATTGTGGTTTGAAGGAAATGTTTATAAACCTAGGTGGCTAGGTATCTGCCATGATTAAATCAATTGTCAGATAACTGTTACCAATTTGAAATTAACCATGGTTATAGCCATTGTCCGTAAAAGTTCAAAGTAGCTAGTACAAGTATTGAAACATATGTATAATAGTATTGTTTTTTAGAGAGTAAGATGACTCGTTAAGGTGCAGTACCACATAACAAAAAAATGGACATACTTAGATGTTATGAATATAAACCCGACAAAAATCTATAATCTAATTAATATATTTTTTCCTGGTATAGGTATATTCTTGCAAACAATATTACGTCTGGTTTTGATTTTGTGAAAGATTTAACAAATGAACTATTTGAACAGCATTTTTATTTCATATTTTAGACCCTTTTTATTCTACAGTACCATAACTTTCGCTGTGATAGTATGTAAAATACTTGTATAATGACAGAAAAGAAGAAAAGTGGGGTTATATTTGGAAAACCAAGAAAATTGTTGGAAAAATGGGATTCATTTTAGTTTTGGAATTGGAATAATTGAAATTTTACCATAATTTGACATATATATTTTTGACAAAGAAGCACTGTCAACTTAACTCCGCTCAGAATCGTTTTTTCATTAGAAATGGTTTATCGTTGCTTACAGGTGTACATTAAATTACTTATAACAGTGGCTGCACCCGACCCCATTATCCTAGGACACGGCACACGTCTTTTTTACCTTTCTATTATTATACACGTATTGTACTTACTATTCAGGGCCGTTCTTAGAACTCGCGAGGCCCTCCTAGTTTTCGCCATTAACCTAAATACTTAAATATAAATAAAAAGTTGTATTATAATTATAATTTGTTATTTCTTTATAAATAAAGGAAAAAAAAGAACACATTTTATTAAACATTAATTTGAATTATTATTTAATAATATATTAGTTATTCAATTTATTAATATATTTACAACGAAAAAATTAGGATTTACAAGTATAAAAATTTAAATAAAATTATTTTTTCCTACTTTAGCTTTCGATAATGTTACGATTAAATCATCATAGTCCATATTTTCACAAATTTCATTTTCAATTGAAATGATAGCGAGATAATAAAGTCTTTTTTGAACCACAGTGGTCCACAAATAATTTTTAATAATTTTTAGTTGCAAAAAACTTCTTTCGGCACTAGTTGTAGTTATTGACATTGTTATCATGATTTCCCAGCTATGGAAATATTTGGAAAATAATTACAAGTCATATTCAAAATATCAAGTCATTCTAATGAGCTTTTTTTTTTTCATTTAAGGTGTGACAAAATATTTTTATTTTATTAAATACGATCAATACGAATTATCATATATTTCTTGGCTATTAGTATCTGTCGGTAATAATCTCACGACCGCTCGTTTTAAATAATTTACAATTGCAATCAGAGAATAACTGCACGTATATGATTACGCACAACCTATAAGAAATCAGAACTTTCGCAGTGATAGTTTTTGTTTGACGCTAACTGTCAACTGGTATTCTTCATTTGTACGCGTGTTACGTGCCCACACGCTGTTATAGATATACGTGAATGAACCCGTAGTAAATGCCGGGTTAAATTGCGTGCGCACCGAATTATTCGAAAAGGGGGACCGCAACCATAGCCGGGGGCCAAGAAACTTATTAACTTTTCGCATTAACCTTTCGACCGAACCAAAATAATGGCGAACCAAAGCAATAGTAAAATGTGTCTTTTTAAAATTGTTAGATTGTGCGTAACACAACGCATTAGCGATGACATACAAAATAATATAAAAAATTTATAATAAACGAAATAATACGGATAACCGCAACTATGAACGACGGGTTGCGAGACTCCCTCCGAGCATATGCAACGAAACTCGTTGAATAACTTTTCAAATTTTTTCTTGCAAATTTCAAAAACGTTCCAACAAGTCAAAATAGAGATTGTTTGAATGTTGTTTTTAGTTTTTGTGAACTTAATTATGTTGGCTTCACGTAGGTTCTTTAAGTAAAAATAACATATTATACACTATAAGGTAATCTAAAGATAATGAATAATAGATTCAAATGCCAATCGAAAAAGTCCATAAATTACCAATAATGTAATTTATTACTGTTTTCAGGTAACTGGAAGATGGTATGTAATTGAAACCATTCATCACAAATTAATCAACGATCAACGTCGTTCACTATACCCCAGGGTAACCCTATTGGAATTGCTCTGGTGCCCTTATATAGACTTATCGTATGCTAACAAACACACTCTTGAGGACCTGAAACTTTTGTGGGAGGAAGAAAAAGGCAACATTGAATATCGATTCAAAATCAATGATATGGATTCCCCCGGAACATGGATATCGAGTGGAGCGCAAAATGGTAAATGTAATAGAAAAGGGCTGGTGTATTGCTGAAAAATATGCCACTGTTTAAGGAGGAAAGTTAGAAGGTAGAATACATAGAATAATAAAATTATATTTGTACGCAACGATGAACTGTTGCTAACGAAAAACATTTCTGAACAGTGTATTTTTTAATTATTAGTTATATTATGTTTTCTTTGTTGATAAGGTAATTTACAAATTATCGAAAATTATACGAAAAATTGTGAGTTTTCTCATTTATCAAAGTAATTACAATGAAAAAAAAACAAATGGCTTCACAATACACCAACTAAACTTAGGGGGGGGGGGTATTATTTTAACGAAATATATAAAATATTATGTTGAGGGTACGCCTATATCACATGTGGTCTGTTACAGGTTCACTGGTAGATGAGGGCTATAAGCAATTCGCGGGCACAGTGTTTGTTCGAAAAGCAGTCAACGACCACATGTGGTTGCAATTCTGTTCGCCCAACACTTATCTCTACAGCGTGGTGTTGTCTCGGCAAAAATGGCTGGATCCGAAGGTGGTGACGAGCATCATAAAACTCATGGATATCCAAAATTTACCAATCATGTTGAGGACGCAGACGTGCAAAAGTTCTTCGTCGACCGCGCGGGCCACGATCTGGCTCACGGTCGCGGTCACGGTTCTCTGCTTCCGCCTCTCGGACTTGACGTACAAAACCTACTGAACCGTCCTGGAAAATCTCGGACCCGGGATTGACGACGAGTCTTGACCGAGAAATAAGAACGAATACAGACACGAACACACACACACTCAATATAACACTATAAAATATTTAGTTAAATAGTGGCGTTATTAGAATATCATCAGGGGGATCTGTGAGCATTTAAAAAAAATGAATTCCTTTTTTATAACTTATGGGAAAAACATAAATACTAAATTCCTGTTATTCATTCCATACGGACGGATATAAATCCGTCCACCGCACTGCTTACCTCGTCTAATAACAATTTGTAATTTTTATTGTCGCGGGGACGGCTGATATCTGCTGTTATCGGATTGGTCGATTTATTGCGATTTTTACTTAAACTTAACGGGCGAACTGTACTCGAGTTAAAAATAGATAACGGTCCATTTGTACTAAGGTAAAAAAAGTTTAACATTTTTTTTTGAAAACATTTATACTCCTTTCAACTTACAGGTTTATGGTTTTAGGCTCATTGCCCAATGGCGTGATTAAAACAGTTTTTTTTAAATAAAGTAAAAATACCAAAACGAAAAAACTAGAAGTCTACTAATTTATAAAGAAACTATAGTTTTTAACAACGTCAATGGATAAATTGTAAGTGGGAAAGGAATTTAATATTTTCAAAACTTTTAAATCAAGTTTACTTTATCGAACATTTTTTGTCGAAATATATTTCTTGGCTCGAGGGCAGTTCTATAATTATCTTTTTTTTTTTTTATCAACACAATGTGCAATTTTACTAAAATAAGTGCATTTTGCCCTTACCTATTCTTTTAAACTAGCAGTTGCGTACCCGAAAAAAATTTTAAAATTCCCCTTTGTTATCCATTGCTGCTGGATACACCACTTGGAGAGTACACCTTTATTGCCAGATAAAAAATGCTAGAGTCTATTTTAAAACGGACATTCTTCTCTTACAGAAATCTAGAACGATGGTTTAGGGAATTTGTTTGAACTTTCAATTGATCGCCCTGTACACCCGAAGGAAATTTCATAAATCCTACACCAATGTATAAATGTAAATAGATTTTTAAATACCGGCGGACATTACGCACGCATCACTGCCTCCGCCGCATTCGAATCGTCCCTTTAGGCTTTAATACCATTGAATTTCCGTTCTCGTCTGTACTTTTGCTTAATTTGTCGGATCTCCGGAATATATATTATTATTTTTTTATAAAAATATATTATTATTTTATTATTGTTTGAATTTTAACGCGAACAATTCAGTTTTGTTTATACACGTCATTATTTATGTATTGTTTTATACACTTACAAATTATATACTATTGCCCTATGACTATACTAATACGCTATTAGGTATTACTATAATGTTTCATCGAACCACTATTATATTAATATTAAATACTTACAGTACAACAATAAATGGCTGCACCACTTCGGGTTATTTAATTATTTTTCGTCGTATATTATATTGTATCATACCTACATATCTTCTTTTTGATCTCTTTCGCCTTCGTACCAGCTAACGGAGGTCAGCCACCCAAACTTCTAAACTTCCACCTGATCCCATCTCCTGCCATCCTTGAATGTCCTCGTATTATTCTCAATCGAATTCAACCAGCTCTTTTTCGGCCTTCCTCTTTTCACTCCTACGTTTATTTTCATTGACATTTTTTACTGCTTCTGATTCTCCTCTTTTCATGACAAACCATCTCAGACAATTTTCTCTCAATTTATGTCTACTATCGAAACCAAGTTTATACTATATTTTATGTACTCTTATGTGTTCTTATGTATCTCTTGTGTACTTGTGTCTCGTTCCTTACCCTATCTTCTTTTGTTACTCTATTCATCTAGCTCAATATTCTCATTTCTGATATCCTCGTACATTATTTCCCTGTTCTATTTGTCTATCTACCTCCCAACACTCCGAAGTCCATACTATAGAACATTTCCCCATACTTTTTTAGAACTTATTTTTAAGTCACATTGGAATTTTTACTAAATATATTGAACTGTATGTGTTTAAAAATGATTTTACTTTATAGGTGTAATTACTAAATTTAGATCATCCTTATTGATACTATATATATATATTTTTTTTTTTTTTTTTTATGTTAATATTGTTCTCAAAAAAAAAAAATACATACGAATATTAATATATTTTAACAGTGTTATCAAATAAATTATTTGTTCATTAAACATTTGGGTTTTTTTATTTTATAAGAATCGAATAGAAAGCCCGCAGAGTCCTTATTATATAACAAGAGAGTAGCCAACCAAGGAACCGTTAAGCAACTTTTCTAATGTTTTACCAAAGCATGTAAATGCCGGGTGTGTAACCGCTAGTAAGTTTTAAGTTCACTTAGTCGCCACTTCTACTTCTATATAAATTAATATGGATGTTGGTATATCTGAGATTAATAGACTCAAAAACTACTGGACCGACTTTTTTCAAAATTCAAATATTGAAATCTTCGATCCGTCAAGCTATTATTCGTATGTAATATTTATAAGTTGAATTATTTGAAATATTATAATTAATTTGGTAAAGATTGTCTGCTAAATTAAATAAAAAACCAACCGGGCTTCAACGCAAACACCAGCAGACCTTTTATTTTAATTTATTCTATTTGAAATTACAACATAGAGTACTCTATAATTTATGACGGCGGAATAAAAAATGATTTTATTATAACCTAACATCAATGAGTAAATAACGGTCCATGAAAGCCTGATAATAACCGGTGGCCACTCTCTCACAATGTTTTTTTCTCCGTGTTAAACACAAACAGCGTCCATTTTAATACGCCGCAATCGGTGACTAAACTAAAATGTATAAGATATTTGTTTTAACTTAAAAGCTAATAAGATTTATCAATTATCGGCGGAAAAATGTAACAAAAATAGCGTTGGATTAGAAATATAGCCATAAAGATTAAAACTTGTTCCACACGATTCATGTACTTGGCGAACAGCACAATAACCGCGATTATGACGTACCTATTATTAGTGACGTCTGATGGAAAACCACGATTGACACCCTGTACACTCAAAATTGTACCTACAAACAGGTTTTTATTGTTCACGATTTTTTGCGCAAACGAGTTGTTGTAAATTTAAAAAAATGTATTAATTCATGCGCAAACGAGTCTCCGCCCATCCTGCAGTTCAATACCCAATCCTCCGTCCTTCTTTACCCGTTGCTTTTTCTTTCCATTTCAAACCTCCACTGACAAAGTAATTGTAATTTATTACAATAACTGCAAATATTTATTTTGTTATTTTTACCAAAAAAATGTGTGTTTTAAATTATTTTAAAGTTTTTGATCGTGTAAAAAAAATATTTGAGTTATAGTTTTATTTTAAATTTTATTTATTCATTTCATTATTGCGTTCTTGGAAACAATAAATGGATACTACGTGCATTTGGAGATTTTCAAATTTAAACCGGTCAGGTCTCAAAATTGATTCGTAGCTAAAGGAGCGTTCAACGTTGACCGAGGATAATGGACCGGGCATATTTTCATACTTTTATCTCTAAATGTATAAATTCAATACATGTGTTTTATTTTTATTCAGAAAAACATCTCCAACAGTCCAATTGTTTTTATGTTCTGTAAAGTGACATTTTCAGAGAGAACGTATAATTTAATTTGTTTTTGTTATTATCACGGATTCTCTATGAACCTCAAAATTGGTTTACTGCATTCTCCACAACCATGAAACTTTCAAATTGTTGTTAGATTTGACGGTTCTAATTATTGTTTTATGACTCGAAACAAAATACAACAAAGAAAAAAAAGAAGGTAGTTTTTTTTTTTTTTTTTTTTTTTAATGCAAAAAACAATACTACGACGGCGACATTACGAAAATATAAATGTTTTTATTTTATGATTTTCAATTATAACAGTATTACGGATATTATTCGTGTTTCGCGGACGACTCTGTCGGGCGTCGTTCGCCGGCCGCGAAATATCATTTTCCGCGTCCGCTACGGCGAAGGACAAAAAAAAAAAAAAAAAAAAAACGACATACTATGTGTTTTTATAATAATAATAATAATAATAATGATAATAATAAAAAGAAAACATTTAGTAACAGAAGAAAACGATAACAGACGGCGACGACGCGCGATGGTTTAATGTTATCGATAATTCACATACGATTGTGTTGTCTATGCTATTAACGACGCCTGTGGTTTTTCGAACCGCGTCTGGCCGTGTGGTCCGGTATTGAAAACGCGGTGTTTCCTGCGAACGCCCGGCGGGATTTCGGGTGCCCGCAACTGTGCGACGACGGCGGACCGTCCGAAACGCGAAATGGCATTCGGAGCGAGATTTTTCGAAAAATCGGCTACCGCGCGGTACTTACCGTCAAATCGCCGCAGTGAAATCACGAGGGATGGGAGGAGGAGGGGGGGGGTGTTCGGGACACACGACGGACGCGGTTCGAAAACTCGGCGGGCACACGGTAGCGAAATACATCACAACGGTGTTTCGGCAGAACGGACGGCCGCCGCCGTTCCGTAAAATCATTCCTTGTAGTGCCTGATGAGCGGCGGCACGACGATGATGATCAGGTAAATGATCAGCGTCCAGATGGGCAGGAACACGTACACCATGGGCAGCTGCGGGCTCTTGTTCTCGAGCTTGTGGCACAGCGTCAGCTGCGCGATGATCTTCATCAGGCATATGATGAATATTATGCACCGCCGGCTGCCGCAGAACACGGGCATCTCGCTGATCGCGTGGCACGAGTTGCTGTGCACGCACGAACATATTATGAACAGCGCGGTGAGCGCGTCGTCCATCCAGATCGGCATGAATATCGTGTACCAGCTCTGTTTCTGTTTGGACTGCAGCTGTATGGTGAGCAGCACCAGGAACACCACCATCGACGCCCACGTGGTCAGCGCCCGTTGGGTCAGCGGCATCTCCTGCGCATGCGGGAAGAAACGAAAAGATTACATTATGTCGGGGACCGGCGGATCCGTTTTTCGCCGCGTGAAAAAACGGAAATGCGCCGACCAAGGCCAAGTTTCCGCCTTTAGAAGAGGCGGAAACGGGGAAAATAAACGCTCCGCTTTAATCGACTCTTATCACTATTATAACGCAGTAGTTGAACGGACCGAACCGCCCGAAATGCATTATTATTACAATATATTATGCGCTTTTCAAAACGACCATAACAATACCGTTCGTAATAAATAACACCGACCCCGCCCTGCAAAAGTCGAGCTCTGCGACTCCGGTAATTTCCCGGTAGGAATACACAACAATACGGTACACGGTTACCGCATGGCATCATATATTGATTACTCCTACCGTTAAAACAAACCAATAAGCCAATACACTGTGCGTGCGCGCAAACATTGAAAATACGTACAGTACGAATCATACGGATAAAAGGAAAAAAACTGTTATTAGGCAGTTTTCAAACAAAAAGAAAATAAAACCTAAAAGGATTGACTTGAGCATTTCTTTTTCGAAAAAAAAGGTACATAAATGGAATAATAAAAAAAAAAAAAAACGCATACATACGTAGAAAAAAAATAGTATTTTTATTGACTTAATGCAAAACGTACAAAATTAGAAAAAATTGAAACAAACGATAGTAATATACTATCGTCGTTACGATCACGATATTGATAAATATATTTTTGTTTTAATTGTGACGGTTAAACGGTTCAAAGGCCCGTAGTCGTCCGTATCACGGTTATATTTTCGGGCATTTGTAATATTGACCGTCCCTGCAGCAGTACTCTTTGCCGCCCGACAGCAGCGTGTTGGTCCAAGAATCGCTGCAGTTCTTCACGAAAAGATGCGCCTGAAAACCATTTTCGTTATTATTATTATTGATATATTTTTGTTAATTATTGTTCGTCTCGGTCAGGACATATTTCGGACACTCACCCGTTCTTTGTAGACGTCACGGTCGACCGAACCGCAGATGATTGCCGCACTGTTTGGCAAGTGTTTGACGATCTAAAGGGGACAAAAAAAAAAAAAAAAACCCAGTACAATTACAGTATTTAAAAAAAAAAAAAAATCAGGGCTTAAACGGCTTATAAAAAACTATGAGTACATTACGTTCAATTTCCCCTCCCCTCTACTAGTACAATTTATGAACTTCGTGCTAAATTTTCAACCATTTCTGCTCGGCAAAAATGTTATGTTTCACAAAAACTCAAAAGTATCAAATGCCTATAAATGGCTTCGAAATTCTCAAAATGTTAATATTAATAGTCTGTGAAAAATGCAGGTCTCCACGATTACTTTTAACTGAATTACAACAACGAAACAAAATCAAAAATAATGAAACTGTAAATTGTCGCGTTTTTCTCAGTTTTACCCAATTGTTATGAAAACCGCTCGGAAAATCAAAAAAATAACTGCCTTATTACACCAAGTATATTAATAATGCAACAAACCGGGTCTCTTATCGTGTTTTGATTGAAGCAAAATTTCTGGTTTAAAAAATGTTCACAGACAGGGAGAAAAAAGCGCACATCATAGAAAAACCTATACAGTCCTCGATGGGCTCAGAATCTAATATGCTACAAGATTACATGAAATGTCCAAATAGGACCAATTCTTTTGGTCATAAAAAATGCATGCTCGTAATTTTTAGTTATAGCCACGGATTTTGTTTCATTTTTAAGTGTACAGCTCGGATACTCGAGTATTGTTTCGTATGATGTACGTGCAAAATGTTGCAGAATAATAAAAACGGTTTTACTTTTGTTTTGGTGAACTTTGGACCTTTTGGATTTTTTTTTTTTCAAGTTCGTTACGGGTTCTAAAATTTTTAAGAGAATTTTGAACTCAACTGTCCGAACGTCATTACACATATCAGAATATTATATACGCGGCGTTTATCGGCCGGAAAAAAAAAAACTCACGATTTCCAAACACTTGTTGGCGCAATAATTATTATTCTTGGCGCCCAACTTGTTACAGGGTACCGGATCGTCGTGTTCGTGTACAAGGGCCGCGTAGCCGGTGGGCTGACTTTGTTTGTCGGCACCTTTGCCAATCTGACTGCTCAGGAACACGCCGCACATGCAAGGCGTTTTGGAGGTCGGCGCGCCTTGGCCCAGCAGTTCGTTAAACTTTTGTGGGGCAATATGGGCCGCCGCCTTTTGCGGAACATTGCCGACGTCTGAAGTGGAGGAGGAGGAGGAGGAGGAAGAGGAGGATCGGTCGGCGACACTGACAAAACGAAAATTAATAATAAAATTAAGTAACGGACAAAATTAGGCAGTTGTATAAAAATCGGTTCAAAAGAAAACGGTATGTAAAAATGATTTTTATTTTCGTTAATCAAATTCGTAATTAAATTTTCCGCCGCGGGAAATATTCGCCTCTATACAGTACACACATCTTGGAAAACCATCCAAGTGAAACTTGAAGATTAAGTCGACCAATCGAATTTTACCTTTTATCTGCGGATAATTGTCTGCCGATAATGCTACAGTCTTTAACCCGGGTATAACTTGCGACGATTGCCCCAAGGTGGATTAAAGAAATTGTTTTCCTGGCCTTTCCTCTTAATCCCGATAAACCCCAAGTAATGTCCTTCCACCGAATAAGAGATATTCTGACATTTGACTGTTCTACTTTAAATGGCTCACCCAAAGTCCAAAATAAATTTTTAAGTCTGACAAGTGGAAAATTCCGGACGCACGATTACAGACGCCCGTTAATCGGATTTTCAAACTCGATCCTTTAGATCGGCGACGTGAATCGTTCGATATCCGCTTCGTCCTGCAGTCTGGTCCATTATGGTCGGTCGCGTTTCCTGCCCTCTTATTGCAACGGCACCCATTACTCGAACGAGTTTTCCGAGATTCGCCCCAGCCCCTTGACCGGACTCCGAACAACTGTCAAGATTTCTACTAAAAATTATGTATATATACGTTCGGGAAATGTGTAACACCGAGCGAAGCGTACTTTGCCCGGGACAAACTGAACCGCACATTTTATTTTAACGTGTACAATACGTTTTACGGGTTTTTTTTTTTTTTTTTTTTTTCTGTAAATTATTATATATTTTAAAAGGAAAACGTATTTGAAATCGACAACAATGTAACATAATACACCGCAAGATGGCAGTGTCACGAAATGCGCGAAACCCCGGCCGGAAAATTCTGCCGTACGGATCCCGCCGATCGACAATTGACCACTTTTATCGGTCCAACGTGTGAAAATAAAAACGAGTGCAACAACAACAAAATAGTGTGTACGTCAATCTAAAGTAATCGCACGGCGCGTGCAGTGCGTAATATTATCGCGCGCGACGAAACGGACGTGATCGTTAACACACTCTGTACAGCGCTTTTCCGCGCAGATGACATTCGGGACGGTCCACGCGATCGAAAACAGTTTTCATTTTCGGTTCGCGGTGCCCGGGCGCCAAACGCGCCGCCGTATCGTTACTGTGACCGCGTGTGCGCGGCGAACCGGCCAAGTCGGCATCCTAACCCGGCGTGACCGCGCCGCACAAACTCGTCGAACCGATCTTTACACGCGTGCACCACAGCGTTATGGCAGGCGGACGGGGATGAAACGCGCGACTTACCACGGCGAGAGGGATCCGAGTGCGGCGACGACAGCGAACAACCGGACGGCGAACACCACGGCCATCGTTCGGACGGTTTTTCGGGAAACGGAAAACGGCAAATGAAACTCGACAGATTTCGCCGCGGAAATCGCACTCGTCGACGTTGCCCGCGCCGCCGCGGTATTTATGTACGGACGCGCGCGCCGCCACTTCCACTTTCGGCCGTCGCGTGTTTTGTAAACACCGAAATCCGCTGAAAGCCCGGGTGTTGTTTTTCTCCTCTCGTCCCGCGGACGACGGTGTTTTACGGTCCGCGCGCGTTTGTTGTTGTTTATACGAACGAAACGAGACGTTATTGTCCGTGTTTAAAGCGCCCGGAGCGGTACGACATACATGTACATACGTTACGCGGTGTGCCGTGGACAAACACGACGGGGAAAAAAAAGAAAAATTCTTTACCGGTCGTTTTGTTTTACAACTAAACAACAACAGTGTTACGAACGTGCCCATTGCCGAGCCGTTTGTAAAACACGACGATTTCGCGCGAAACGATGCCCGGCGCAATCACAACAACAACAACGCGTAATGCGAAAACACTTGTGCGAACGTCACGAACGCGCGTTAAACCGACGAAAACAAAAAATACGGACGTGTTTCGCCCGTGTGACGCGTAGTGTTTGCCGTTTCGCAATAATTTCCGCGCGCGCGATGCCGCGGCGTACACACACCCGCCCGTAGAGTTTCATCGCGACCGACCGGAAATACGACGGGGTTCGCGGCACGTAAATAAATAGACGGGACGCGCCGACGACGATATACTGGTTGGAGGGGGGGGGGCGCGTTCTACTTTCGCGGAAGACAGACAGACGGCAATGGGCATTTATCATCAAATTATAGTTTGAATCTCGGGATGGGGGTGAAACGTTCACAAAGCCGTTATATTGTATTCGCAGCGCCATAATTATGAAATCCTGTCCATTAATTCGTTATTTACAGGGAGGTGCGATCACTGCCCCCCCCCCCACGGATGATGACAAATATATAAACAAAACTGCCGAGAAATTGCTTCGAAACACGTCCAAAATCTAAACCGGATGCCGTTTCGAGGTAGTTAAGAGTCCTAAGCGCATATCTAAAATCCTTAGTGGCTGAAACAAAAGTAGGGATGAAATTCAAAAGTCACGTCGACTGGATAATATTTCGAAGTAAAAAAAGTCAATCGTCTTCTTGTCTGCCGTGGTCCGGGGTACCGATTCGATTGAAAACGTCAAAACGGAGTCGGTGTACACGCTAATGAAAAATGTGTACTCGCGTATACTTGTAACGCGTGAATTTACAATCCGTGTTCACGTGTTTTAGCGCTATTCAGGTGAATGAGTAGTGAAAACACGTGAAAAATAACGTGCCTTCAGGGGCATAGCTAGGATTTTTTTTCGGAACAGGGGGCTGTTCATATTTTGTACACAGAAGCGATTTCGCTAAGATTTCGTATAAGTCTGTAATGTTAATGTCGATGTTTTTTTTTTTTTTTTTTTGGTTCCTGTACGGCTTAACAAAGTATTTGTAACGTACTTAACCATGCTAGTATTTGAGAAACCCGCAACGTGATAAGAATTAAGTTTGTCTAATACAACATTTAATAAAAAAAAAAAAAAACGTTAAAAAATTTGAAATATTATTGTTATAATAAATTGTTTCTTATATTTAAATGTTGGAAGAAAGGTGTATTCAAAACGTGTAAAACATTATTTTAGTTTTCAATTTAAACTAACTACAAATACAAAAACATATCCAATACATGAGTTACAATCAAATACTGAATACGTGATACACAAATAATACAAAATTATTTATTTTACCGCAGAGTATAAGTAGTTTATTACATTTAGTACTCATAATTTTTTTTTTTTTTTTTTAGATTTGTCATGGTACAACCACAATACAGCGCATGTACATACAGTGAAAATTGAAAATAAATATAGGTATATATTATTTTCAATTGATAAAATTAAACAGTTAAAATCAGATACTAAAATTTGATTTTATAATTATTCTTAAGCATTATAAGCGACAGAGTTTAGCCGGGTCTTGTTTATAAGAAAGAAAACGTTGAAGCTTTGAAAGTTTATTTATACTTACCCGGTAAAAATGACGTATAACATTATTGATGTACAATATCTGTCCAGTCATTTTTCCAATGGAATATGTTTAAATGTTAACTGTTTAATACAATTGTGACGACTGACGGTCCACAAATAGATAGGTATTGTTATACCTATCTAACATAACGTACTCGATTACTTAACGTAACCAATAACCATTTCACACCGTCAAAAATATACGTCGAATATGTATTAATGCGATAACAATTTAAAAAAAAAAAACGCGTAACGATAATATCCATAGACTCGGGCACGTAGTCAGGATTTTTTTTTTTTTTTTAAGGGGAGGGTCCGAACACAAAATTTACCGGTTTTAACGAGTTGTTGGCGTACCTATCCCGCATTTATTCTGAAATGAACTCGCCAATTTCGTCCGACGAAGTTTACACTGGCGAATAACTGAAAACCCAAACCGATTCGGTAGAAGTTGATGTATCGAATTGAACAATAACAACAACGGAAAACTCGATTACACCCGACGAGGAGTTACGTTTCAGTGTTTTACAGAGAGGAGCTTACGGTTACCGGTTCGAGAACGAGCGTATCGCACAGTATGCAGCAAGCGCGTAAACAAGACAACTATTGGGATATCCATTTTTAAGTATTTGAAAAATAAATACATTTTTAACAAGTATTATTATTACACTGAACGAAAATTATACAACATGTACAATGGACGAGTAATCATAGAATAAACTTTTGGTTTTCTGTGAACCGAAAACAATGTAATTTTTCAAACGAGAAACTCGTTCGGGCCGTTCGCGGCGACATCGGCAGTACGACGGAAAATAGAAAATTAAATTTCGCCGCCGATATGTACGCCCGGAAAAACGCATTCCGTATAGTTCACGTTTCGTCGTCGTTTCGCCGCGGCGTGTCTCCGGTAAAACCCTTCCTGTCGACGACCACGTCCGCCGAGCCCTCCATGACCACCTTGTCGCCGACGCTACACCGGAACTCGCATTTTATTATTTTTCGGACGGACCGCACCTCGACCAGGATCCGGACCAGGTCGCCGGCCCGGCACGCGTTCGGGAACCGCATCGTCTTGGACACGAGCACGGTGCCGGGCCCGGGCAACCGGGTGCCGATCACCGCGGACACCAGCCCGGCCAGGTAGACGCCGTGGGCCACGGGCCGGTCGCCCGAGTGTACCGGATTGTGGTCGCCCGTCAGACGGGCGAAGTTTTCAATGTCCGCGGCGTCCACGCGTTTGTGCACGACCGCGCGGTCGCCCGCCGCCAATAACCGACGGGCCGCCGAACAGTACGGTCTTAACAACGCGACGGGCAACATGACGACGGTTCGGTTCGGATTTGCACGGTATTGGCGTATTGGACGTATCGTATTTGCGGCGGTTACAGAGTATTTAACACTTATTCTAGATGTTCTATTTTAGTATGCGCAATATCGAAACTACGTACGTGCGGTAATAGACGCGTTGGTTATTGGTCGGGATGGCGGCGACGTCGGGTGATCGTTGCCGTTTGAATGTCGTTTCCGGTGCAAAAGTCCGTCAGAAATATGTTGGCCACATTCTTGAGCCTGGGGTTTTCGCTCCGGGCGTGCGACAACACTCGGCCGACAACAGACGGGTTTACGATATCTGCAGAAAAAAAAAATCACAAACAAATATAATATATGTGTGGGTAATAGATACGTATTGCTGTTAGGGCAATAAACGATAGATGAACATTGTTTTCGGTGGGAAATTGGGATTGTAGGATATAGACGGGAATTTAATGTATATCTGTATGCAACGATTAACCACTGCTAACGAAAAAACGATTCTGAGCAGAATTCGGTTGATAGTGTTGCTTTGTCAACAATATACATATGTCATATTATGATAAAATAATTACATATGCATCAAACATTTTCTTTAATAAAATTTGTTTAATAATTTACCTATTTTCCCGTATTTTTTCTCGGTTTTTCCTATTTTTAGGGAAAACTCCTGAGAAAATCAAAAAATTACCTCCCTCAAGTACCTCCCCAGTCAAAATTTCCTTTCAGAAAAAGTGCTACACACTTGTAAATCGAAGCAATATTTCTGGTATAAAAGTTGTTCACAGATAAAAAAAAAAAAACACTTAACATCATTGTAAAGCCATAAGTTTCTTCGCTCCACTCAGAATCTAAAAATTCAATAGTATACTTTATTTGAGTACGCGTTATTAGTAGACGATACACTGGACTATTAGAGAGCAAATTATTTTTAGACTGTGGTACACATAGCAAAGCGATGATTATGCCAAAAGTTCAAGGAGGAAGGCAATTTTGTTTGGAATAATTCCGGGCAGTCGGTATCACTATTCAGGAGTTAGTAGACAAAAGTAACATTGAAAACTAATCGTCTGGTCTTTAGTGACTTAAAACCCACAAATTTATAAATCTCATCAGAGTTGTAATAAAGTCGAGTGGTTTAATGGTTTCCATTAGAATCGCCATGAGATGAATTTATGTGAATAAACGAGATGAAACTTGCGAGACTTTTTCAGAACACTCCCCCTCACCTAATTTATAAAAAAATAATGTAAAAATAATAATCGTAAATAATTACGAAAAACCGTCTAGATTACATAATATTATTCAATTTTGGCGTTCTAAAAAGCAATCGGCGTATTCAGGATTTTTTTACAGATAGATAACCAGGTAGAAATAATTGATCACAATAATATTATAAGTAACCTACTTTACTCGCTCGTCTACATTATGAATACCAATAAGTGCTACAAATATTAATTACTGTGATAAAAAATAATATTTGTGTAGGTAATTATTTTTTTTTTTTAATGTCAAAACAATAAATATTCCTTGAGTTTTTCTTAAATTTATAAACATCACAAGTTAACATTTTTTTCGGTTAAATATAACTAAAAATGTTTTCTTGAATATCTAAAGTCCAACATATAAATATCAATTTCTAGTTTCAGTTTAAACTATACCTAGATACTGTTTTTTTTTTTTTTAACGCTCGTCTATAAATTCAGCCACATGCGCCAAACGTTGATGTGTAACATTATATTCGCTTTAGCGAATATTTAGTTAAACAAATTGGGTATATAGGTTTTAAACTAGAAAAACACACTGCTGCAGTGGTGCCGGACAATAGACGGTCGACCAACACATTATTAGGTATCCGGCACTCCCAACAGAACTTTTGTATGCAACGCCCACCTGTTTAAAATGATATAATGCCATTAGACAAATGGACAGAGAGTCACATGTTACATAACCCATGCATGTTGGACATCAAAAAACAGGTCACCTAGTAAATAAGCATAAGTATGAAAGGCGTAAGCGCGCATTGGTGTAATAACGGAAGGAGCTAACTTTTAGACAATAAAAGTGATAAAGCTTGTTCAAGAGGCCTGTTGTAAAAATTGTCCAATCTAAATTCCGTTTCAAACCACACAAAAATAACTAGTTATACATACACAGGTATATTACCTATTATTCTTGGGAAGAGTTTTATGACTGGTTTGTCTTACAAAAAATAAAAAGATTTAATGCTCATCAATAATAAAATAAAATCAAGTGTGTAACAATATATAATATATTATTAAATTATACAGAATGTCCCCCGACAATGTACCCATTGCAATATCTCCTGAGATAATAAAAAATAAAATTCTGTTTTTTTTTTTTTTTAGTACACACAGGGATATGGACTGCAAAAACTTAAATTTGAAATACATTTTTATGTTTTGGTAAAACAAACTAAAAAATAACTTTTTATTTTAATTAGTGTTTATTATTCTTTTGGAAATTTTGACACTTCAATTTTTTATTTTCATTTACATGTTAACTACCACGCCTATGTCAGAGGATAAGAATTGCAAATATTTAAATGCTAAATGGAGCGTTTTAACAAGCTGATAACTGAATTTAATTATCTTTATTATCTCCAGAGATATTACAATGTGTATATCTTCATAGGACACTTTTTTTAGTTATTATATCAAATTACTTGTAGGTAGATTAAATTCTGATAAGTTTATAATATGGAAGTACATGGACAAATATGGACATACAATAATATTTAAATTGGGTGCACATTTCTATCTACTGTAATATTATAACATTATTAACACTCAACTAAACCACCAAGTATTATTTAAAAATTGTTATGGTATTTCAAACAACAAAATGTTACACTATTCTCTTTATGAATATTTTTCACTAAAAAAATAAATAAGATACTAATATTCTGACAACATTTTTCATTTAAAACAACTATGTATATGTTTCTTTTATAAATAACAAGTTTTTTGATATTTCACTTAGTAAATAAAAAATGTATACATTGAACAAGCTATAAAAACATTACAATATTTAAATTACTAAGAAACAAAATTAAATTACGAAGAACATAATATAAGTAATTATTAACCGAATTAAACATAAAACTCATTTACATGAAATTGAATAATTTATTTATCATAATTGTATATTTTTTCAAAAAAAGCTATTGTATATCAATAATAAATATATTCTACATCATATATTTTCTAAATTTTCTCAACAAAACTAAAATAGTTTACATTTTCCACCAACTTGGTATAAATGTTTTAGCTGTGAAACCACCGATAACCAATTGCTTAGCTTTTAAACATTCATCAATTCTCAAAAGTCCAATACCAACCTTCCCAAAAAATCCTCTTAATTTTCCAGGAGGTCTTTTTGAATTTAAATCAGATTGAATGTAAATATTATCATTGAAATCTAATCCAGTAGGTATTTCATCAAAAATTAAAGGCATTATTCTTTTCCTTGTAACTCCAGTATGATGAGTTCTTGCTGTTAATTCTTGTCCAACATAGCAGCCTTTATTAAAACTAATCCCTTCTAGATAATCACAGTTCATTTCTAATGGGAAGGATTGGCCTTTGAGCAATTCACTTCCTTCTGCAATGCCATTTATATACCTCCACTGTTGATAATTCAAATTGTCAGAATCATCTAAAGGTGATTTATATTTATCTCTTATATCAGAAATCTTATTGGCTAGAATTCGTTGACCCAAAATAGGTATACGAGGATCATTAAAAACTCTGGCAGAATTAAATTCCACGGTCATAGGTGTGGACCCGAATAATGCCCAAACACTGGTATCATTTAGTATGTTAATATCAAGTTTTCTTCTCAATAAAAACATTTTTAAGTGTTTTGTTAGGTCATTCGCATCATTTCTATCGCATTCCAATAGTATATGGGTGTCCAACTTATAAACCAAACAGTCATACAATACACGGCCTTTTGAATTCAATATCATGGTAAACAAAGCCGGTTCTGTTGTAAGTCTGAATATATCATTAGTCATTAAACCCTGACAATAATCATACATCCCATCGCCTTCAATTTTGATCAGACTTCGATTGCTTAAAAGTTCTAACTTAGGTTTGTATGGAATTGTTGAAAATAAACGAGCTAACTTCATTGGTACCCTCATTGTTCAAAACCTTTGAAAAAATACAGTACCAACTAATAATTAATTATTTAAAAGTTCTTCTAAAACTAAATCTCATGTAGTATGCGGTTTAAAATATTTAGGTACATTATATCTAAATACGGAGTGACATCAATAAAAAAATAGGAGATAACCTTATATGACAATTAAGTATTAATATTTTAATAAAATACATAATTTAAAAAATAAATAAATATAATGAATAATAATACAATGTATAAAACTTAAATGGTAAACTGTATAATATATACTTCAGAGTAAAATGTATGTTTAATATGAAATGAGTCGTCATTAAGAAATAAAAATTAGTCAAACTAAAAAGTTATATTTTGCATACATAAAATATTTGTTAACAACCGCATATTACATAAATTTTAATTTGTTATTTAAAAATAATTTATAACTCAATATTATAAAACCAGGAATCTCCTAATAAAATACATGCATCACAAACATTAAAGTTTATATTTATATAGAAAGTGCAGTAGTCAAACTGTATAAACATAATTGACTAATATTTCAAATGACCATACTTTTAACACATGTGGAATACAATATTTTATAGTTCTTATCTAAAATTATTTATGAAATTTATGCAATTTATAAAAATGCAACAAAATTTATGAAATCATAACATACAATGCCTCTAAATATATTTAAATTTATTCAAATACCTAATGAATATAGGTAAAAATGTATAATAAGATTAAATACCATAAAGAAAATAAATTCAATATGACTAAGTAATAATTAAAATGCTTAGTAAGAGTAAATTAGTGAATTCATAAATTCATTGAAAATTATATTTAAAATAATTTTACATTTTAGATATAATATCATTTAAACTTTAGAACTAAAATTATAATACAGAAAATTCAAACATTTTAAAAGGAAATACCAAATAATGTTAGTGAGAAATGAAAAAATTTCTAAACTTTGATTGAATTTTCAGAATATTTGATTATAATAATATAATTTTTAATTATTTGTTTAGTTGCATACAAAATTAATACTCTATTACATTCAAATGATATTAAAAAATGTTTATCTAAATATATTTAATGCTAAAACTATGTACATACAATAATTATTAATATGTGTTATGTATAAAAATATATAATATACATTTTGTAAAATATTAATTATTCTTAATATAATTTATAACATATATGTTTTATTAAACATTACATTTTGTTAGAATTATTAAAAAACTCATGAGAGTTAAAAAAAAAAAATAAACATTATTTGATTAATAATATAATAATTGTGAACATTTTTGTCGGGGAACTATTTTCGCCTTTAATTATTAAAATTGATATTAACAAAAAATAAATATATAAAATTAGAAATATCTTACTAGGATGCTAGTAACATTTAGACACAAAAAACATCAAAGTAGAATTACATGCTATATTTTTTTTATAACTAAAGTCAATATCAAGTTCAAGTTATATATATAAGGCTTAAATTATATTCGTTTCTTACCAATAAATTGAAAAAATTGACAAGTTTTAATTTATAACTTAAAATAATTATCTAGGTAAATATTATAATAAAAGTGTAATTCAGTTGCAATATATGAAGATGTTTCAAGTTATCAAGATGTTTTTAAATTATATCAATAAGAGTGTTTTTTTGTTTAACCTAGTTAATTCACAAATAAATATAGTAAATACCGCATACAACATGATTGGTATTTTAAGCAATAATATTATTATGAAGAGGAAATCCCAACCATATTAATTGCATACCAATGCATACCAAATAAACCCTAGTAAATTCAATTTAATTTTTGTACCTCTAATAATGTGAGTCTAAGGGTTACATTATATTTCACAAAATTATTGTCTTATTAATAAATGTATAGAAATAGAACAATATATCAGTTAGATATTTAAATTATATATATATTTTTTTTATAAGTAAAATTTGAAATATTAAAAAAAAAAATACTAACACTTCCACTTAAATAATAATACATAACATTTCTCTACACATTTTAAAACAGATGATGGTAGTAAAATTTTAACCCAAAACTCACACTTATTAGTAAAATAAAGAAATGAATTTATTCATGTCACACATATAGTAGAATAGGTAGATTCAATAAATGTGGGTAATATTGTCTTTCGATAAATAATAATACTTAGATTTTAAAATGAATATATATTTTAAGTTGATAATCAAATATGTATTTTACCTGTTTTTATTTCTGGAACATACAAATACATGAGAGTTGTAATACAGGAAATTAATAAGTCATCATTGTCTACATATAGACATCTCTCCAAGTTTGGTAGACCACCATTTCCAATTATATAATCTTTATTTAAAGGATCTGAAAATTAATAAACTAAACTTTAATAAAATATATGGCACCATAATATTATAATTAATTAACAAATGGAAAAAATTAAATATTTTTACACTGACTAATCAATTCAAATTATTTTGGAATTTTTTATCAAAATATTATATACCTAATCTAACTAATTCAAATCAATATAAACCTTTGTAAATCATTATAAACTTTTTTATCCATAAATAAAATGGCACACTAATTAAAATAGGTTAATTATAAAACTATAACTTTATGCAACAATAAAATAATATTATATAGTTATTATTTAATATACCGTATGTAAACGCTAATTGAAAACACTCCTAACAATATCCTCACACAGAGCCATCCAATTTGAATTTTTTTTTTTTAATTAGTTCTTATACTTAGTAATACGCATTCAGCATTTTTTACTGTTGATTAGATATGCACTTGTGCAATATAATTTTTTTTTTTTTATTAATTCTAATGGTCAAAACACTTCAAAATCAAAAATTAATTGATACAGCAATTTAAAATTATTTTATATTTTTAGATATATGTCCATTAAGTAATGACAGTAAGTTTAAAATGTCTGATAAAAAATGATAAATGGCAGAGAATAATGACAATCAAGTTAATTACACTCCAATTTTAGTAAGTATTGTGAAAAATAGTAACAAATCTATTAAATATCAAATAAATTGAAATTACCATGTCTCAGCTAATTTTGAACTAAGAGATGTAGTTTGACCATTAAAATTTATGAAAAAATGTATAATTGTTTAATAGGGGTGGTTGGCATTTAAGAAAATAAAGTGCTCATGTACGTAACTTATCAACAGTAAAAAAAATCAGAGAGCATAAAAATGTGTATTACTAAGAAGTGTAAGGATATCAAATGTTTTCAGTTAACGTTTACACATTGTAAATAAATAAAGTTAAAATATATTACTGTTTAGTAGGTAAACCTTCAAACAAGCCAAATAAATTTCTAAATTTCAATATTAAATGATGTTTCACAAAATATTGAACATTTAATAAAACTAATGGGACTATAAAATAAATAGTTAAATTTATCATCAATTGATGATATTTTCAATGTTATACTATGAAACATAGAATATTACAATTATTATACGTTTCTAATTGAAATTTTATACATTTCAGATTATTAACACAATTAATTCATGATAATTTTTTTTTTCTTTTCCATGAAAGTTTTCAGAAACAGAAAAAAAGTGCTACAAATTCCATACAACTAACAAATCAAAACTGAATAGTAATTATATTTTGGGCAAAAGTATTATTACCGTTGGCTAGATTACAGAGTCCGGCCGCAGCAAACTCTATCAATTTGTTGTCGTTCGAGCTTAGCTGTTCTATAAACAAATCGATTACTTTGTTGGCGCGTATGTGGGGATAATTAACGGGGTCGTACGCAAAGTTGGCAAGGTTGGCGAGAACTTGGCGTTTTGAATCTGAAAAAAAATCTAATTAAAACACGAAGGCGAGCTTATATGGAGCGGATAGGCAGTAACGGACATCAGAAATTTTACCCGCACTGTTGGTTTTCTGGAACTCTTGGACGAGCAGATGCAAAAACTCGGGCCGGTTAATGCCGTCGACCGGCGTGCGTTTCAGCAGATCCTCCGGTTTATGGAACATATATAAATCGGCGACCAAGCACACAGGTGAATGAGGAAAATACCATCGTTTTCCGCGGCGGTTTAGTGATAAGTCATTGGAATTTTGGCAACAATAACACAGCAGCTGCTCCGATGGTCTGTTATTCTTATCACGGTATAAACGGGTTGCACCGATAAGATCGTGTTATCGTCGATGCCGAGTTCCTTATCACAGTGGCGCCGGCAAACAGATGGCGTTTCGGTCGCCGTCAGCCGCTTCCGTTTGAAACACCGACCCGCGCGGCCCGTTGAAAGTTCATTTTCGCTACGCCGACAGACGTGCGCACTCGCCGTACCAATACTGCGGTCCAACTGAGTCGCACATCAAACCGATTCTTCCAGTTTTAATTTTCTTTCTCCCCTTTTTTTTTTTGTTTGTTTTTTTTTCCCCATTTTTCGGTTTTCTTCTTCATTCTTTTATGACCGCTGTCTTTTTCATTACTCGTCTGTCGTAGTGTAATTGTTTTATTATTTTTTTTTTTCGTTATTATCGGAGCGTTATCGCAAAATAACGTCGACAATCAACCGTTTTAATATTATCGCACGCACCCCGGAATCGAAAAAATACGCAACCGATTCGCGCCCGAAATGGAATCTACATCGTCGGTAAGTTAAACATTTTCCTTTAGTATCATAAGGTATTTTTAAACAAAATATATGTAATAATTTATAGGTATTAATATTAGTAGTGTTTAAGTAATATTTGCGTCACGGAACACGTACGTTGTATTCGCGGTTCGACGGGCACCGCAGTGGTTTTCTTTACCGTTCGTGGGCGGCCCCCGTCGTCGCTTTACGCGAACCGTAATTTTATGCGTTCTGTCAACAACAAACGGAATAGATGGTTGTTGTTTTTATTATCGTGCTGGGTTTTTTTCTGCGATAAACCGGTACTCGACCGATAATCGGGGATCCTGAGGGTTGTGCCGGACTGGGTTTTGGACGGTTATTTTTAGCGACGGTTATTTTTTTACTGCCGTGCGGTTTACTGCCCCCCCCCTGTACCGACCGATACGGATAGCACGCACGCGTTCGTAACCGGCGCGTGTATGACCGACAGACCAACAGGACACTTCCGCCGCCGCCAAGTCCTGTTGGTCGTGTCGTCGTGTTTGTGTTCGGCGCATGTTGCCCTTGACACAAACTTGGTCGTCGGCGTCCGCCGCGGCGATGGCAACCGGGCAGGTTAGGTAGGTAAGTGTGTGTGTGTGTGTGTGTGTTTGTGTGTTGTAGAGTTAAAATCGTGTCGTCCTAACATCATCCCGTCCTGTACGTTGACCGGACCGTCGTACGCACACGTGTCGGCGGCGGCAGAACTTTGGTACACAAGCGCGCCCGTCGCTCCACCCCTTGGTGAAAATGTATTTATAAAATTGTCGACGATTGCCAAAAAGCGAAGGAAAAAAAAAATAAATATATTTTCAAAATTTGCTCTCTCCATCTATCTATCTCTCTCTCCTGTCTCTCTCGCTCGCTCCTTGCCGCCTTATTCGCGCGTTCTGCTAGATCACCACCACCGACGACGTCGCCGTCGTTTAATTCGCCGCCGCGTGTGTGACTAGCGTGCCCGTCTCCGGGTCGGGATTCATAATCGCCCGAATTAACGACCCGACGACTAACGACGTTACCTATTTTAACGTGGCCGTTACGGGATTGTCGTCGCAACCCCGGGGACACACGAGTACCGTCTACGCGTCGGAATGTGTCGCGCGGTCTCGTTAACGACGCCGCCGCCACACAGCCCCTTCGACGTGTACACATTATAATAATTAATGCGCTTGTAATTTATAAATTCTTTTGTGACCCACGACGGTGTGACACTTAAAACAATATTAAACGTTCACGAATAACAATGAAATGCTCGCGCCGTTAGTAATAACGTGCGTACCCTTCACGGTGCGTCGTCGTCGTCGTCGTCGTCGGTATAACATTTATAATGTTCGGTTTGTCAAGATATTATGATGCCGATATCGATTTCGTGTTATCGGAAACGAAACGGACTTTGACGGCACTGGTAATAATATTATTGTTGTTATTCGCTTCCTATTTGCATAAACGTGTTATTTATCGATTCGGAATACAGAATAACCGCCGGTGAGATACCGTGTGGATTTCACGGTGGCGGTTATCCTCGGGAGAAAAAAAAATGTACACGCCGGGGTATCTCCGAGGACGATCCCGCCCCCCTCCCCCTTGGCCATCCGCTTCCATACGAGACGCGCGCACGAGTTGTTGTAGATAACTGGAAAGCGTAGCAAAATATCAACCCCGCCGTGTTATAAATTTAATCGGTGTTTAAAAAAAAAACCCGTCCGTATACACTCCGTACCGACGATAAAAATATCACGATAATACCCAGAATCGTTATCGTTTCGGTTTTTCCCATCCGTCGGCCCGTTCGAAATCATAATAATGTTATATTATACATAATTCACAATATTTCGTAATCATAATATTTCCGACGAGATAACGTCTCGTCCGAATTATTGTAGTCGTAAACATTAATAAACGCGACCGGCACACGTGTTTGTGTGGGGGAGATAAAAAATAAAAAAGAAATAGAACCGCGTAATCTCTGTGTATAATAACAATAATATCGTGATTACGGATTATGGGGCGCGGTGGGGAGGGGGTCAATATGTTATCTCGGTGAAATAGACGTCTCGTGGAATCTAGGAATATAGGAAACGGTGGATTTTTTTTTTTTCTTCGTCCGTTATCTGGGTCATAACCGGGGCGGTTATAAATTATAACGATAATAATTATTATTGAACACACAAAAAAAGAAAGAAAAAAAAAAAATGACAAACCGAAGACGATGATTGAGTGTGCGTGTAATAATAATGACGACGACACTCCGCGCGGCCGCTACAGTATAATCGTTGTTTAACAATAATAATTGTTTTTTTTTTTTATTTCTCTCTCTATTATTTTACTAATCCGGCTTTGTTGTACGAAAACCGCATTGTACGTTCACCCTGTATAATATTATCATGTATATTTTTTTTTTTTTTTTTATATGTGTACGCGTCGGACTCGATGATGTCGGCGGCGGTGGTGATATCGCCGCCGCCGAATGCGTGTGAAGAGCAGGCTTATTAAAATAAATAATAATATTATAGGCGGTGCAGTGCGCGCGGGGCGTTTCGTCGTCGTCGCGCGTCGTCGTGGTCGCGTCGTCGTCGTCGTCGTCGTCGTTTTCCCGATAGGGCAACCGGTCAAAGTGCACAACTATTATTATTTTGTTGGATATTATGCGTGCGTGTGCGTGTATGCATAGTCGCGCGCGCCACACACACACACACACACACACACTATAATATCATAGAACGCTCTCCGTATATTCTATAATAGGGGAGAGGCGCGCGTTTGCCGCGTTGCCATATCGGCCGCGGCGACCGAACTCCTCCCGGTTATAATAGCGCGGCTATAGCCTATTTTACTATTGGACCTTGACGCGTCTCTGCCGCGGCGCGTTCGTTCGGTTTTGTGTTCGAAAACTTCTGTGCGCGCCTCGCCCTCTCCTCCTAGACCGTTCCACGATAATATTATAATATTATTACGCCACCATAGATACGCGACCGCCGCGTTTCGTATTCCCGTACCGTCGTCCACTAGCACTCCCCGTGCGTCCGTTTGTCGAAGCTCGCAGCCGACGAGTACCGCCGACCCGTCTTTTTCTTTTGCTGTCCGGCCGGCCACCGCTTTCGTTTAGCCGTTGTTAATCCACTCCGGTTCCAAATCCATTATAAGCGCGCTGTTCAATATTGTATTCGCCGAATATCACGCTCGTCGGATCCGGCGATGAATAGGGTCTTGCCCTCCTCCCCTCCCCCCCCACCCGGTCTCATTCGAGCCCGTCCCCGATGGATTTTAATTTTTTTTTTTTTTTCCCCGAGCCGTGTTACGACAGTGACGTGCCTTACCCCCGTTCGAAAGCACGTATATAATAATAAATTTACGTTATCTGTCGACAATAACGATGTTCGTTAACGTCGTCGTCAATCGCCGTTTTTCTCGGGAAGCTGTAACATTAAAATCAAATGTATACGGTAATAATAATTATTAAATTTACGATCGCCGCCTGTCCCTGCCTTCCCCCCCCCCATCGGTCCATTAGGAGCGTGTTCCCTATTGACACACGCACACACACACGGCCGTGTAAGAATAATCGCGCCAGCGCATTTTTTTTTTTTTCAATTGCATCACCGCCTTGTTTTTTTTTTTTTTAATACGTGTTGTTTATATTGAATTTTATTTATTTCCCGCGAACGGCACAAGGACTTTGAAAAGCATTTTGAATCGTTTCGCTACACGGCCGCACCACGTACCGCCCCGCTATTGAATAACGGTTTGCACGCCGCCGCGCGGAAAACCGCGCACGGTAATGACTGTAGAGTGTTTAACAGTGATTTTATCAGAAATCAAAACGTTTACGCGTCGTTATCGGACCGCGGTTTAAGTGTACGGGCGATAAACGCGCGCGGTTCCTACCGCCAGATCGGTACCCGCGTGCAAACGACCAATCGACGTGCTAAGTTGTGTACATGATACTAATATTATAAATCGCCTATATTGTATTCAAACAGTACCGCGCGCATAAAATATAATATAATAATAAATTATATTATACTACGTATTATTATAATGACACGTAAGCAGCGTCTAAACCCCGTAGTATTTACTCTGCGGCGTCGAACATTAATTCTTCTGCGATACATAGTAATATGATAATCGTAAGACGCCCGTTTAATTTTGTCTTTTTTCGCTCTCCTTATCACTTCCTTATCGCCGCGAACGATTATGTATTTTGATGCGTTTAAGACCGCTGCTCCGCGTTATTGTCAGGCAGCACGCTGTTGGTTCGTCTGAATTATAATAAAAAAAATTAAAAATAATACACTTCACTGATAGTAGATGTATGCGGCTAATAGGCGCCCCTTATAGTTGCATATTTTTATTTTAGATTCTGAGCGTATC